TACAGCGAGTTATCCCTATTCTGGTCTGCTGACGTGCTAAAACTGGACTTATATGAAGTGGCGAAGTCGCCGTGAGCTTTTGTATTAACAGCTCCTTTTGGAATAGGTGCGTCAGAGTCGTACTCAAAGTTCCTTTTCAGGTGCTCTTTTGTCCTCGTTCGTTGTGGATTATTGAGAGACTCGTTGATCTTGACAAAGATGTCGTATTTTCCAGTCCAGGTTTGTGTCCTAATCTTCTTGTTGATGAAAAAACAGTCTCTGAACCAGTGCTTTCCTTCTCCACAGTAGCATTCGTACGGAAAGGCTTGTGATGGTGTTGTAAGTGCTCTTCCTTTAAAGGATTGCTGTCGTGGCTCTTGCTGTTCTGTGGTTGAAAAATAAGCGTGTGTAGACTTGAGTCCCTTGAGAGAGTCTTGCTTACGAACGTGGTTGCGGAATCGCTCAATTAGGTCGTATAATTCTGGTATTTTACCGCCGTCTAATTCTTTTTGTTTAATGTTGACTTCAAGTGCTGTAGCATATGAATCGTCGATAGAGCGGATTGCTTGAATAAAGTCCTTTTGAGCTCTGTCGCCACTCACTTCTGGGAGGTCAAGAGCCCTGGCTTCAGCATATACAGCTTCCCACTGGGACAGTATATCTTCAGGTTTCTGGCTTTTGTTCCACTGTATGAGCTTGGCGTAGTCTCTAATAACTTCATTCTGTCTTGCTTCGTCGGTTGGTGCTAGCCTCTTTTTCAAAGCCCTCAAGACGCCAGAGATGCTGGGAGATGGAGAAAACGCAATCAGTTCTTGGGAGAATTCTAAACTTGGAACCTGAAAGGCTTCTGATAAGGTTATTGGTGGTTCGAAATATGCGAGCCAGGAAGCTGGCGATGAAGGAAACATATCCGCACCACGGGATTCTTCTGGTGTCTGAGTTGGCAAAGAGTGTGTTTGGATTGCAGACGGGGCTGTTGGATTCATTGATGATGGCTCTCCCTGTTGAGAGATTGTTTCAACAGCGGCAGGGTGATAATGAACAGACGAGTTGTTGGACAGCGGAGAAAGTGCCACATCCCTACGGGAAGCATGGGGAGTTTTGGCTCTCAGGGGATGTGGTGATGGACTTCGCAACGTGGCATCTCGGGGGGTTTGAACGGATATTCCTTCCGGGATGTCTATGATAGTTCTTGTCAACCAAAGTTTTGATAACTACTGTGAAGTTAGACTTACAAACAGCTTGCTGGTAGATATCGTTCAACTCGGTAATAGTATACCGAGTCTGTTCTTTCTTGATCTTCTTCTCTGGTATCGCAACACCGTACATAGTAAAGTGACTGTCTCTTCCCATATATTCCCTCAACCGCTTCCTACACAACACAAAGTTCCATTCTTCATGGTTGAGATTTTTGCGGCAGTCCCAGTCTTTGAGTTTTCGTTCGTATTGATTTTTGCTGATTTTATGTAAGCCTAAAGTACCGATAACAAGCGGGAAACTAACCTAGCGATAAAATTATGCTCTCTATGCATGTATGTAATCAGCTCCTTGAGCGTTCTTTCGAAATAAATACGACGGATGGTATCTTTATGGGCATTCCACTCGTCCTCTGATGGAGCTGGGACAGCAGGAGCGGGTGGCATTGCGAACTTTGTTTGAATTGCTCCTGATAATTGGGGGAGAACTGGATTGATGAAAATGAATGGGGAAAGGTGTCTGAGTTTGTGTAGGACTATGCTTGTTGAAAAGAAAGAGAAATAAGAAGAAATAAATAGGACTACATAAGGCTATGAAGATCAGAGAACGATTTGCATGGGGCTGTGTAGGGGTGAGCAAACACATATGATTGGCAGTTGCTACTGTGATGTGATTCGGTGCTGCCAAAATCTCCCGCATAATTTGTGGACCTTTTGGTGTAACTTGTAGATGCATCACAGGCTGACACTTCAGGGCTTTGCAGCTGAATTGATCTATCACTATGTAAAGCGGCTTTTTGATGCCTTCATTTAATATATCCAGTCCCAGTTACCGCCTATCACGTCTCGTCCCAAAGCGATACTTGCACCAGGGGTTGACACTACTCCGTGCGCAGTCCCGGATTTTGGCCGAAAACACACCAAAAACTACGTTTTTACAACCCTATAACTCTACGAATTTATATTACAACTATACGTAATATCTTATATATTAACTCTTTAGGGTAAAGAAACTAAGTGCATATACGGAAGTTTTATTTGAAACCTAATATTTAAAGAGATATTCTAGTAGAGAGTTTTCTCTTAGTAAAACCCCTAGTAAAATCTACTACATTCATATTACAATAGAGGTAGCTCTTTTATTAGAATTCTAAATAGTAGAAGTTAGGGAAATTATCTTTCTTATCTCAAATCTTTAATATTATAGAATATATAGATTATTCTCTAATTTATTATAAATCAGTAAAGTAGGGTGTTTTTAGTGTGTTTTCGGCAAAAATCACGGACTGCGTCTTGAATTCTGACACCCCCTGGTGCATTAACGGTACCCTGGTAATGGTGGGAATACTTCGGGGGAGGGGAGTGCTAATTTTCGTTGATTTTTGCAAATGCATGGTTTAGTTTAATGAACTGCAGCTGGAATATCTTCTCAGATACTCGAATATATCCTACTCTTTCAGATGGTACAGATTTACTGCATGGGTTAAGATTTCATAGTTCTTTACCTTAACAGTCAGTTTCATCCTGCTCAGTGTGTCTAATTCAACACAGTGTTATACCGAACCCCCGAACAATGAAACCAATTATGCCAACGGATAAAGATACCCATATCTCATAATCTTTCCCTATACAGCCCTTGAAATGGCGTCATTCCATTCTCGAAGATTTTAGTAAATACCCGACTGTTAAACATTAGTTCACGTGAGAGAACCAATGTGGGTCATCCCAAACCTCTAGATCTGTATATATAAGTAGGGAGCAGTGCCCTCCAGATTGCTCCTCAAGTATTTGAATTATATTGAACACTCATATCACCTTTCAACAAATACATATTCGAAGTAGCGTAATTAGTATTGTAGCGATGGCGGCTGTATTTTTCCTTTCTCTATGCGTAAGTGTATTCAGTCATTTTCACAATATAATTGGAACAATTATCTTGACTGTCTTGGGGCTTTTGATTGACCACTGATTGGTATAGATTACTGGAGTGATTGAGTATGTAATTCCTCAGTTACGTTGACATAACACTGTTTGCAGGCACCCTTGTTTTCCGCCAGGGGCTCGCTTAGCTTGCTTGGCTTGCTAGGCGTCTAAATTGGCCACAACACAACCTCACGCGATGTATATGTCAAGGCATAATTATACGTGAAAGAACGTGAAGTTCACTTAAAAAGATATCAGGTTTGGATTTCATGAGGTTGATTTCTGGCGGCTGGCCTATAATTCAAAAGCAACCTTTTTTCTCCAAAAACATATCCAATACCATGTTTTACAGTCCAAGCAGTACTGTAAACGCTTCACTTAATTTGCACAAAAGTGAGCTTCCCTCCAGTAGTAACATTGAACGTAGGATCGACGAACTGCATCGGATCACCACTATTCGAAATAACCAACTTCTTCCCCTCAGCACCCTTCTCCCAGATCACAGCCGTCGGACCCAAAAGAGCTGTACTATTCCCTCCGCCAATCAGAAGTTTGGGAACAGTGGGAGTACCATTAATCACTTTTCCGTCAACGAAACTGAATGAATTTCCGCCGTTCTCGGCTAAGAACATGTCGCCGTTATGTTCGTTCACAATGAAATCATCAATTGGCGTCTGAATGACGATCTTCTCCGGCTCGCCGACGAGCGCTGCATTCTTCCCGGAAACCTTTACTCGTGCGATTAATTGTTGGTTGGCGTTTGAAAAGTAAAAATACCCCTGGAAAGCTTTATGCCGTTGACGCCGAATCTGACAGTAGCTTCATCTGGTTTGAGAAGCGGGTGGTCGATGTAAGTGGTTGACTCAAGTGTATCGGTGTTGAAGAGATGCACTTTACCGCCCACTGTATCCGCGATCAAAACAAATGGCGTATTCGGAATCGTAATCATGCCATTAGGTTGCACGAGCCTTTCAAGAGTTGCGAGTTCCTTGACGACTGGCTTGTTGCAGGCATCCAATGAGAGTCGGTGAATAGCGTATGACCCGATGGTTGGGGAAAAGGTGGTGAATGAAAAGTTCCCGGTTATGAGCAAGTATACATCAGGGGTTGAGGACTCGCTTATGCTGCTGATCCCGCTTGCGTTTTGGAAGGTGTAGAGCAACTTGGGACGGAGTTGGGAATGGGTGCAATTTCGAAGATGTGGGGTTCTGAGGCGTAGGTCACTGCCAATATGGAGCCTGAGGGTCGGAGGGCGAGGTTTTCTATCTCGAGTCTTTTGGGGAAGGGCTGGCTGACTTCGGTTGTGATTTGGAGGGCTTGGGAAATGAGTGGAAGAGCTGTAAAGAAGAGACTTTTGAGAGTTTGTGAAAACATTTTGGCGGCTTTTAAGCTGTAGATAGAAGAGAGGGAGATGACAGAGAGTGCTTGAGAATGGAAAGTTCGTTCCTTGAAGTGGAGGGGATATATATATTATACTACACACTCAAGTAAATCTTACCTAAAGTTATATTCCGCCCGCTGCCACGTAAGATACGCATACTACTAAGCCCGCTGGGACCACTAGGAGATAAGCCCTACCATAGTCGTCACCGACGGAGAAGCGAAGGTCATTAGGTCCGACCCCTGTCGAGCTTGCATATTGTTGGAAGTGATCTTTGCAGGATTCAACATCGCTGCCTGCTTCCGAGACTAAGAGGCTGAGGCTGAGATAGCATCTGGTGACGAAGGAAAGGGGATCGCTCGCTTGAGTAGGGGGCGGCAGAGAAAGGGGGGTGTCGATGGGACTTACTCTTTTAAGCTTAAACTTGGGAATTTGAGCGCGGGGCCGATATCAGCTCGGAGTCTATACCGGGACGTAGGCCGGAGGATTCGGGACAGCGGGAACAGGCCAAGCGGAGGTGCGGGGACCTCGGGACAGGAACACCAAAAAAATCTGTACTCCGGTACTCGAGTACGGAGACGGATGGTCCTCGCAACCAAATATTCACGCTCAAGCTCAAACTCAAGCCCAAGCTCAAGTAGGCGTGGCTTTCGTTTGCAGAGGCGAAGAGAAGAGATGCCTATGTTTGTGCGTATCTCTAAGGCCTCAGGATTTGTGGCAGATGCTGCTGCTCGCCCAGCACCATCCATTTCGACAGCGACATGCCTCAACCATGGGCTTCCATAGTAAGCAATGGGTTATCTGCCACCCGTCATACCGAGCACAGCGAGCAAGAACAACACTAACAATAAGTAGTCAAACCATGGCCTCTTTACCCACACTAATCATGTCTCCTCTCTCCGAATTGGCCTCTCCACTGTAACCCGGTATCAACGGCGGCACCTCCATTCACAAGCAACGAATGCCAGCGCCAGCGATTCTGATTTTGCATTGTACGCGGCGAAGCAAATCCGGGTAGCCGAATTCCTTCGGAAGGAGTGGGCCCATAAAATTCCCCAGGACGCCCCACGGCCGGTTCTTCAGGCGGAGCTAATTCGCGTCCAAGAAGAGCGAGAGCCCGTATGGCGATATACTCCCAGTCTCGAATTGCCTGGTGGCAATTTCCACAAATTCTCGAATATCAACCCTAACCCACACAAGGCAGCAAGCATACTACACTCCAATGTGTTGGCGTCCTTTCTTCAGCAAACACCATTCTCCTCGCCATCTCAGAGGCAGAGGTACAGCGACTCCGATCTTATGCTTCTGAACTTTACAAAATCGTGGCTGAAAAAACCGAATGCCACTTCTTTTCCCATTATCCATTATGAGCGGCTTCAATCGGGACATTGGAGATGTGTTGTGCATATAAACTCGCTACCAGCAAAAGCACTGAAGTCGTTGGAACGGGTAAAACTCTGGGCAAAGCATTGGCGGTTGCCAATTCCAATTTGTTGGAACTAGACAATACCGCACCCAGAATCATTCCAGTTCAATTCCTCGAATGGGCTAGCAATTTAATGATGTTATTAACAATGTCTTCAGCAACTGAGGATTTCTTAAAGTACCACGAAAGAACAATGTTGGATACGACTTCACAGAGCGTTGCCCCAGTATCACACCCTTTCGCCTTTCACCGTGAACACTCGCCACGTCAATTCAACGCACGAAGTGGAAGAGAGTTAGATGCCAACAGCGCCACTGAGACACCCAGGCAGGCGAAAAGCTCACTTCCATTGAATGGCTTTCGCAAGGACATATGTGACATGGTGCTGAAAAATACTTATACTGTAATCGCTGGGACTACAGGGAGTGGTAACGCAACGGAAGTTGCCCAGATGCTACTGAACCATGCTATCCTTGAATCTCAAGGCTCGTCGACCAATATTTTCTGCACACAACCAAGAATTGCAGCCCAGTCAGTTGCTGCACGACTTGGCGCAGAACTGCAAGACGATCTAGGTGCCACGATTGAAAACAAAGTCATGGACGGCCACAAATCCTCAGATCTCTCTGGGGCGATCACCTATTGTAGCATAAGTGTTCTGCTCAATCGCCTGCTGACCCCGAAGAGATACTGAACCACGCATCTCATATAATTGTTGACGAGGTTCATGAGCGAGACATCATTGTAGACACCCTCCTAATGACTCTCAAGAAACTTCTCCGGCCCAGACAACAAATGAACGAACGCACTCCGAAAATCGTTCTCATAAGCGCCACTCACGACGTGAACCTCCTGACCGAATACTTTTCTCAATCAACAAGTGATGGACTCACGCAGCCATGCCCGTCTGTCAACGTACAAGATCGATTATTTCAGGTCCGTGAGTTTTTCCTCGAGGATATCATGAAGGAAATGAGCGGTCGTCTTTTGGATATCATAACGACTCAGAAGGGCCTGTCATCACGTTTCCGAGAAGCCAAGCATATCTCTAAGCACATAATCGAGGACGCTGACCGATTGAAGAGCACCCATTCAATGGTTCCTATACAGTCCAGTGGCATTATGGCCAAAATTCGCCACCAAACAACCATCGAAACCACCCCCACGCTACTTGCGGCAGCAAGTATCACACATGTTTTAAAAACAACAACGCAAGATGCAATCTTGGTCTTTCTTCCCGGACTTCGCGCGATCACGGAAGTTGCTGTGATGCTGAGATTTTATAGTCGGCGTTTGACTCTACCCAAATGTGACGTACACGCCCTTCCCCAGTTGCCAAAAGAGCCTATGAATAGTGTACCTCTACCCGCACAACCTGGCAGGCGAAAGGTTATTCTTGCGACCAAGATTGCAGAGACTTCTATCGACATACCGGACATTGCATATGTGATTGATTCTGGTTTAGATGAAGTAAGCGACTATAATCAGTTTACTGGGGCGGCAGATTTGCGAATCTCTTGGGTTAGTAAAGCAGATTCAAGACAGCGTGCTGGCAGAGCAGCGCGTGTCTCTGACGGAAGATACTACGCGCTATTTTCTAAATCGCACTGGAATAGTTTACGCGAACGTGAAATACCCCCGATCCAGCGTCAGGACTTACAACAAACATGTCTGAATGTCAAAAATCTTTTCCCCCGGGAGAAGATAGGCCAGGTTCTTGCTGAGGCCATAGAACCGCCACAGGTAGCAGTTATTGATGCTGCCATCACAGATCTGACGCAACTGGGGGCGCTTACGGAGCAGGAGGATCTGACCCCTTTGGGAGTTCTATTATCGCGACTTCCAGTTGATCCTGCAATTGGAAAGATGGTTATTCTTGGCATCATATTCCGCTGTTATGAGCCTATGCTTATACTAGCGTCCGCCAATGGAACCAAATTCACAAACGCTCGTCTTAAATATGACACCACCCGCAAGAACACACACTTCCAAGATTACTCGGGAAGTGATGCTGTAGCGTTGGTCGACGCATTTCAGTTCGCCAGCGCAATGGAACACCGAGAGGATTTTGCTCAGTTGATGCGAGCCGCATTCTTGGATATTTCTGAATTTCGCTCAATTCAATCAAAAATGGCAGCCATGAAATCGGTGCTTGTGAGAGAATTCAAGATCATATTATCACATCAGAAGCAGGAACATCCTGTGGGTGCACCCCCTGTGGACATACAGGTATTTTTCGAGAAGCACAATGAGAATTCGACAAATTTGGCACTGATCAAAGCGTTGTCGCTGGCAACGTACCCGGACCATTTGGCATTTCGAAAGGGAGGCAACAAGTTTTCTACTTCGCTGGGTGACGCTTGTATGGGCTATTGGACCATCAATAATCCTTGCATGCTTGAGAGAATGGAACGACTCAAGCAACAAGCGACGGATACTTTGCTTTACTCTTACAGTGCGTCTTCGATGAGCACCATGAGAACATTTGTTCTTGAGAATACAACCAGATTGTCTCCATTTGCAGTAGCACTCTTCAGCCGCGACGCTCAGATCACTGAACGCAAAGGACGCAAGACACTAATGATTAACAAATGGTTGACTTTCGATGTGACTGTTGATGGGAAGCAATCTGCCGAGAGCACCTCATTCGCACTCGAGAAGTTGATGAATTTTCGGCGAACTATTGATGTCATGCTTACCAATGCCTTTGCTAGTCTTTCTAGTGGGGGATCTCGTCATTCATTCTTGGATCCTGATCCTCGTGTGAGCAAGCTTGTTGCTGTTACGGCTGCACTTTTGGAGCAGAATTTGGAGGTTCCTCAACTCGCTCATCTGAATCTGGCAGGGTTTGATTGGAATCTTGGGCAAGATGAGCCTGTGGGCAAGAACTGGTGGGTTGGGGTTGGGGCTACGTCTCCAGATAAAAGTTCTGGTGGTGTTAAGGTATGATGGCTCTAAAGTCATTTAGGATACCCATTATAGCGTCGATGGTGTCGCTCTACATGATGATTATTGGGGTTACATCTTTGGGAATGGTGCTTGTATATAATTTCTCTTTCCTCATCTACAGAGTTTCGGTAGGAAGTCCGGACATGTAAGATAGTCGTGTAAAACATCACAGTATATGCCTTTAATACTTATGAGCTTTAGACCAAGTTAACCATGCAACCGTAGCCTGCAGAAATCATGGGTCAGATTGGGCCAATTTCAAGAGACAGGACGACGATTCTTGCCGTTACCGCTGGGAGACTCCGCTCATGAGCATGAGGTTTTGAGCGATTAATTCCGATTTGAGCTTCTATATTGCGGATATCCTTTAAGCTTTCTGACCTTTCTTGAAGGAATCGGAGAAGTGTTTGCTTGTCGGTTTTGTTATGTGATAATGTAGTAGCTATGTAGGTATGTTTACAGTATCATTTGGTGGTTCTGGTCAATGCAGGTGAGGCGGTAAGCATGGGTCTGAGATATAAAGGATGGGGATATTTGGCTACCATTTGATGCAAGAATACCTCATCACTCACACAGTAACACAACAATATTGTTGTAATTTAAGGGGGCTTGAAAGAGTTAGTATGGACTACCCCCTTAGATATTCACAGCCGTGGGAGTTTCAAAAGAATTGAAGACCTGATGTTCTAGGTGTTGATTGCTCAAGACAGAGTATCTGATGAAACTTACACCATTCGGAGATACTGCCTAGTAAATCTCGTCATTAGTCACTGAGCAGCGATATAAGCTTGGATATGGGTAATCCATTCTCGGAGCTTGACGTGGCCATGGATCGGTCGCAAAACAAATACTGGTGGAGAGAGGTACTTTGAAGATTGATATAATATTGGGAGCCGATTTAAAAGGCGTCGGGGTTAGAGACTCAAGTGAAAAACAGAGGTGGAAATTTGTCGTCTCGGCATATCAAAAGGAGTACGAATATGGAGGCTCGTGGTTTCTGTAGGGACGTTTTGAATATGAGGGATTCAAGTGTGTTTTACTTTAGAGGACATTAGGTCCTATAGCTTAATGATCACATTTTTATGATCTTTCCGGATGATAAAGGGGCCAGAAAAACGTGGACCCAAAGTTGAGACAAGTTGATGGGATACTCAAGTGCCTAGAAATACCACCTGGTTGACTGAATGACTTGGTTTTATAGAGAAAATGTCGTTAAATTGGGCACTTCTACTCAAATTAGGAGCTCACGTTTTTTCGCTCCTTCATTGTCTAGAAGAAACAACATGAAGACAATCGTAGCGCGGTCTCAAATTCTTGATAGTCCTTCTTGCTATAACTATTATAAGATATCATTCTGATCGTTACCCAGAATCTCCTCCCTCTTTCTCTCAAAGCGAGATTCTACACAGAACAGCAGCAGCAAAGTGTAAGATGTACAGCTCAGATCCTTCACCTGGCTTGATACACAAAAGTCGTGCTAACTCCATTTCGCAATATCTTCAGACATAGATCTGGGTAAGGTCTTGCCTAAACGCGTTTCGGAACAGAGTTCTTATCCATGACTCTATTGCATAGTCCATCGGCATCGGTGTTTTCTTCCCTTGGGACTTGTCTGAGCTTGACCTTAACTGTGTCGTATCCCTGTAACTCCCTATCAAGGCGAACTGCCTCCTTAATCAAATCTTGATTTGCAACGGGCGTTTCCCTCTTGGTGATGAAACCGTTTTCTTCCCACTTGAAAATCCGTGTTCTCAAACATTTGACCACATGTTCTGAATCTGTGGAGATCTTCACAACCACCTTGGGTTTTGGGTCCCGCAGTCTTTCATATTTCCGGATCAATTTTTGGAGGACGAGAATGACGCCTTCGAGTTCAGCTCGGTTACTGGTAACTTGTGGTCCATCCTCTTGGGCTGCTGGCAAAAATTTTGAGTATTCCTTTTTTCGTCCCCATTTGTATTTGAAAACGACACCAGCAGCTCCGATGGCGTCTTGCTCTTTGGACCCATTCCCACGGCACCCGCCATCCACTTCTGCAACTATTAAGTAGACCATATTGCAAACACAGAAGCCCGAGATCAATGAAGTTTCCAAAGGTCCTTAGGTTTGTAAGTTTTGCTGGAGCATGTGTGAGCCAATACGGGTTGTAAAGTTTGATTCGGTCTCAATATACCTGAGCATAAAATATCTCTCTACCCCACCTTCTCAGATTGGAGACCCCATTTAAATATGGCGTTTACTTCAGTGCCAATCCTAAGACAGAATGTTGAGAATGTTGAGAATGTTGTCAGGTACGTGTGTCAATGAAGTCGCTAAGATAACAGGGTGGCAGGAACGGGTGGTGATTGCGGTGCACGTGCAGAACTGAACTAAACTATAAGACAAGTCTCAATTGATGTCATAGCTCTACTCCATACGGCATGGACCATCAATATGTAAGTACAGTGATGGGTAAAGTTGCTAGGTGAATCAAACCCTCGAGGCAAGTCACCTGACAACAGAATTCAAGGTCAATAAATTCTAAAAGGATGTAGAACAATACAGCGGTGCTTGGGTGATCTTGTAATGGTCGTAGGAAAATGAGGAAAGATATACGGAGTATCTGAGGATCCAAGGATGTGTTGTCAATTAACGCTGCGACTAGGAAGTCGGCGGCTTCTGAAACGTTAGTGACGTTCTAAGTGGAGTCTTGAGATAAGTGACGATAAGTTCTTTGAAGCCACTTATACTGTACAGTATTAGCAAGAGGTTCTCGAGGATTGGGCAATTATTAAGATTTGGTTCAGCCCGTCAATTCTTTCGGGTTCAGAGATCCAAGAATATCTTAATTCATAAGCTTATCCGTAAATTACGCGTACAAAGATCTGGACTAGAATCCTTGTAGCGAGGTTTGAATATAAAAAATATTAGGCCTCCAACCATTTGCAACTACGGAAAGGGAGGTAAGATAACTGTTAACTGAAATCAACTTCCATTGATATACAGCGTAAACTCTGCAAAAGTTGGATAGGAGAAAGAAAAGAGGTCACGTGTACATAAGCGAGCTGAACACAACAAACGTTGAAAATAACATTCTGCTGAATATTATAGTTGGATTTTAATTACTTGCTATTGAGTGGATACTGACGAGTGGGAAAATTGTAGCATTTATCAAGCGAAAAACTTTATCTGCCTCACGTGATACAAACCTCCCGTCCATGTTTGCTCCCTTTGCGGTTCAGTGTACCAAGAAGAGAGATGAAGGTTCTACTACAGTTCTTATCCATTTTTTAGATAATTCAGTTTTATACTAATACCAATTTTCCATTGGGAAAATGATAAGAAGACATCATATTTGACTTCTTATCAATTGGGTGGTGACTTGAAATTAGATATCACGTTGTTTGAACGCACCCCCGTGGCCAGTATGCCGTTAAATAAGCCTTATCTTAGTTGCCTGCCAGTTCAAGGGAAACTTCTGACCTGCTACCCCTCACTGGAATCAAAACCACTATTATCAAAAGGTCTGCACCTTTGAGCTGGCCCTAGTTTTCTTGACCAATGTTTTTGTATTTTCACATAGGTGTATCACTCCTGTAACGCAAAGCTGCGTTGTTCGCTAAAGTGTTCTTCATTGTCCTACTCAGCAGGCTACAAGTTATGTTTTCAATCGCATTCTCTATCATGTTCTTAAAGAGCATACCTCAATTTGAGGGGATAATACAGAACCATTACAAATTATATCACTCTCCGATGAATTCATGATTACACTCTACTTGCGAATACATGATATTTGAGGACCGTGAATTACAATTTACAAAAATCCAATCCAGTATAACTTCTCTGCCTACAAGGCCTAAACCATCCCAAGAGCACCTACAAAACAGGTTTAGCAATCAATCAATAAACCTGAATAAATGACAGCTTGGTCGTCCTATGAATGTTTATCCATCAACTTATTACAAAGTCCGTCTGCCTCAACATTCTCTCCTCGTGGTACCCAAGTATACTCAACATTACCCTCCTCCTTCAATCTCATCTGAAGCTCATATGTTCTCTTAATAAGGTCCTGATTAACGACCGGACATCCCATAGAATTAGTCCATCCATTGCGACTCCACTTCTCAATCCAATTGGTCATGCAGCCAATGACAAATCTAGAATCGGTGTGGATCTCAACGTCTAACCAAGGGTTGTCATCAAGACTCTCGCACTTCGCCCATGCTTGTTGGAGTGCTATAATAACAGCTAAAAGCTCAGCACGCTGGTTGGTTACTGGTCTCAACCTATTGGACGGCATAAATTGCCATGCTTCTTCTTTTTCATACGGGTCTATCGAAATGGCTGCTGCGGCACCGATGGCGTTGATATTTCCGTTTCCACGACATCCTCCGTCAATCCATATTTTAATTTTGTAGACCATTTCCACTGAGGAGATTCCAAAGCAGAGTGGGCACTATCTGGAATGGACTGAAGGGATTGCTGGTCTTATTTGACATGCAGGTTCTTGTGGTCTTCAGAAGGTTTCTGGAGCGTCAGCGGGTCTCACACAACATTTCATCAGCAACAGGTTAGAAAACATACGGAATAGGGATATTGTAGAGTATTCAATCGCCAACGATATTTGGTGATGTGGACAACGAGCAGTGCCTTTGACAGCGTTTAAGTGGACAAAGGATCTGAGCAACAGTAGTAAGACCAACTTCTATATATTTTATAATAAAGAAGGCGCGGCTAAGAAAGGATGGGCGAACGATGCATTAGGAAGACAAAGGTGGTCTCGTCCTTTTTAGAACATTATGGGTTAGTGGAGCACTGTACTTGGCCAGGGCATACCTAGTATCTCATAAACAATTCACAAACACACCTTTTTGGATACTACTTCTCTTCTCTCACAACGTAAAAACATGACATGGAAAAACCTTTTATACATATCTCTGGAGCGTAATGATTGAAGTAGGAGTAGGAACAAGACCCAAATCCCACCAATGAAATCCAAGTACAACCAGCCTCATGAGTTCTCGTCCAACTCCTCATTACAAAACCTATCAGCATCATAATTTTCCGACCGTGGAATCCGAACATAATCCAAATCGCCATGTTCCTTAAGCTCATCGTCCAGATCCGACGCCTCCTCAATGAGATCCCGATTCGCTACCTCATTGCCCTTGGAGTTGATCCAGCCATTCGATGACCATTTGTACACCCACTCGTTCATACAATTGACCACGTATCGCGAGTCGGATTGATGCCGACAGCCACATAAGGACTCGTATCCAGAGACTGGACCTTTTCTATGGCGACCTCGAGAGCCAGAATCACGGCTGTGAGCTCAGCACGTTGATCGGTGACCGGTGGGCGGCTATGCCGGAGTGGTCCAGCTTCGGCGCAGCTGCCGAAGTACGCTTACCGCATTTGGTAAGCGCACTTCACTTCATCACTATACAGTGACCAGCAGCCTCCTCCCCTGGGCGGTCTGGCTTTTATCTACAACTATATACATAGCGTAAAAGAAGTGCTTTACTTGATCTTTTGACATATATCAGGTTCCTTGGCTGCCGCTTCTGCTAGCCATCTCATGTCCTAATACCTTCAGTCTCCCCCCAGCGTTCCACTTCGTCTCTTTGTACTGTACTACCACAAAAGTAACTAAATCCTGTATTCATAAACTCGCTATCACCACGTACTTGTACCTTTCAAGACACTCGAACATTACTTCTTAACCACTTCATCACAAGACTTATATATCAGAACCCCTAGAGCTACAAACTCAATCATTAAATAACAGCTAACCTATTCAACCCTCAAAGTCTTAAATTATTTGAAACTGTTCGCCCAATTATATCAATAATCCCACCTTCTTAGGCTAATAAGTACCATTCTCACGGAAACAGTCATAACAACTCTTTTTGATAACCCCAGAATCTGACAAAACCAAATTACTCATCTTGTAAATCTAGACCAATGAAGATCTACAGAAATGGATCAACCCTAACAGCCGTATGAGTATTTCAAGTGTGCGAGTATGACCTCGGTCTTGGTTGAAAGCATTTTCAAAGCTTCTCGTCCCCAAAACATCACGTCCAATTTCATCAAAAGAATCAATGATTTTGGTGGCTTATGATGGTTTTTTACTTTCTATGCAGCATGAATGCTTCGAATTCTCTCCAATTCTATCCTTCCTCAACAACGACAAACAAATATCCGCGCTGATAACTCATATACAAAAGAATCAGGCATCCAAACTCCTCGAAAGAATTCGTATCCTCATGCACATTCACACTAATGCAGTCTACCCTGATGGCAGGAACTGAAATTCACCTTGAATAGGCTGCATACTTAATTGTACGGCTTCCCAATTGCCCTCCATAGAAATGGCACGAAAACTCACTGCCCTCCTCCCGTCAATCACTATCCTTTCAGCCATATCCAAAATGTCCCTAAGATAATCCACTGGTAATTCGGGGTCATCAGGAATTACGCCTTTAGCTGGGATTCCCGTAGCGGCCAGAAAGTTCCAGTAATTCAAAACGTGGTGTGAGTCGGTGTAGATCTGTATTTGGCGAAATAGTCCATTTGCGGCATTGGTTTCGAAAATATCCGCGACGGTGACGAGAATCCAATACATCGCCCATATCCCTACCCAATGATCTGGAGAATGGGGTGCGCCAAAAGCCCTACGATAAATGAACCCTCCCTCAGGGTCTCGACAAATGGCCGTCATTCTTTCACGGGTCACATGCATTTCCACACGAACACACGGAGGAGGTTTAACACCTGCCGGTGGGCCCAATGGTAACCGGGGAATTGCTGGCGGACCAAGAGGAAACATACTCGCTATGCTTGAGCCCTTTGGTATGATGATCCTAGGCATCAGGCCTCCCACAAGTCTGCGCGTGTACTCATGGCCGTTCATGGTAGGGTTCGGATTGCGACCCACGTGGGCATGTAGTATCGGTACTGGGAGTTCTCTTTCAGGAAATACGATTTCTTTTGGCTGAGAATCTCTTATCTCCAAATATCTTTGGAAGATTTGTGCTATGATCGGCGGTTCCAGCGATGGAAGAGTAAGGGTAGGCGAAGGCGATGATTTCAAAGGTGGAAGAATCAGGGAGGGAGAATGTGGAGGTTCTCTGGGTGGAAGAGGGTTTGCTGGTGGAAGAGGATTTGCCGGCGGAATAGGATCTGCCGGTGGAAGAGGATCTTCTGGTGGAGGAGGATCTGCTGGTGAAGGAGAATCTGCTGGTGAAAGAGAATCTTCTGATGGAATAGGATCTTCTGATGAAAGAGAATCTGCTGGTGGAAGAGGCTCTGCCCGTGGAAGAGAGTCTTCCGATGGAGGAGGGTCAGGGTCTTCTGGTCGAAGCGAATCTTCTGGTGGAACAGAATCTTCTGATGGAAGAGAATCTGCCTCCGGAACAGGATCTGCCGCCGGATCCTATGTTCCAAGTCAGAATTGTGTATTACTGAAGAAGAAGAGACTCTTACCATCACGACGGGTGTGATTTGATGTTCAAAGGGTGGGAATGATGATGAAAGCGGGAGCTTTGTTAAATGCTATGTCTGAAGAGAGCTTCAATGAAGAGAAGGAAAAGATACAATGACTGTCGTTGTGCTTGAATGAGGAAGGAGTGGTTTGAGGGAAAACACTTACATGGGTCTTGGGAAGTTGTCTCTGGTGAGGAAGGCACGGTATCTGAGACGTCGTCATTGCTTTACATGCACCCAAGTGATCTTGAGATGGGCTAAAAGCTTCAAATAATCATTTGTGCTTCCCAAACTATTTGAGTCAATTAAATACGGGAATTCCTTACCCCCACAATTCCCCTCCCACTTCTCATAAAACATCGCAAAGCACATCACCACTATACTATAATATAACGATAAAACTCTTGAATTGCTAAAGCTATATCTACCGTAAACCCACCATAGCAATGCAGTCCAGTCCAGTACAAAAAAAGAAAAAGTTGGGGGTATTGATTTTCCGAAAGACCTCTCCTCTCCTCTCAAGCAAAAAGGGCAAGGAAACAACAAGTACGGTACTGTAAGCAAAATGTAAAAGTAACCGAGAAAAGGGGCAACGCCATGTACCAAGACCAAAGCGAAAAAGAAAAAACTCCTAGCAAAAATGCCACTTATCCAGGGTGCCCGTGAATGCCATATGTACGTTTCCAACAAAAGGAAGGAAGAGGAAAAGAAAAGGGCAATCCAAAGAAGCAAGCGAAAAAGCCTTAGCTCCCAAGTGATGCATGCAATGCAAAAATTTCGATCCAACCCCAAGTTCCGCCCTATGTCCAGGATATCAAAGAAAGCCTTCGCATCCAAGCGCAATCTTCCAGCCGCCCCATTCCATTCCATGTTGCCGGCTCCCTATTTCCAGGGTGCTCCTCCCAGTCCGATGTTCCAACCCTATGTTTATAAATGCCAAAGCTTTCAATCAAGCCTTACGAAACAACCTCTTCGTGCCCCCGATTTTGCCCATCTCGCCAAAACTCGCCCCCCTCTCGCGAGCCTTGATGCGCCTCTCCCTTTCCTTCTCCCGGTCCTTCTCCGCACTCGCCTGTTTAACCTTCTCTGTCATGCTATCTACCCACTCCTGGTCCTTTTCACTAATCACAACTTTCTTGCCCACCGGTCCTGCAAGTCCCAAAGAGCTATCATCGTTCGTCCAACCGACACGAGAACTACTCCTAGCATTGATGGTAGTTGATGGGGGCGTATCGCCCTGTGCAAGTCGAGGAGGCATGGGGAGAGGTGTACTTGGACTTCGGAAATCGCGACGGGCGTGAAGACTACTTTCGCCCAGAGATCTCCTCGCTTTCCTGACACCCAAGCTGGAGACGGAGCGAGGGAAATCTTGAGGTGCAGGGCTTGACCTTCCGCCATCAGCACCTCGAATTGTTGCTGTTGATGTAGTAGACGAGGCAGAGACGACTCGAGGGGTGAGATCCTGCACTTCGATTTTGTCGCTGTCTACTGTTGTGCGTCGACCATGGTGACTAGCGTACTCCTTGAGATACTCGCCTAAATCTGCCCATCCACCACCCACTCGGACCATTACACGCTCACCATTCTCTCCAACCAGACGAACGAAAAGTTTGATCGGCGCCTCTCCAGTAGATCGCGAAAGGTGGTACATTTTGATCTCTGGATTAGGACTTTGCGGCCTAGTCCGAGCAGGTGTTTTACTATAAGCCGGAGATAATAGGAATGACGGTGTTGGAGCACGACTACTCATACTTGAACTAGGTCGAATTGACGGAGTCACGGAACGACGAGTCTTTTTCATCCTCAAAGTATTTGTAGTATGGGCATCAGGCTCTGATGTAAGACAAATCTTGGCTGGCAGCTTTTCGAGTAAAGAAGATATTTGTCGCTGTAGCTTGTCATCCGAGCGGTTTCTCGGCTTGGAAAACGGTAGGGCTTCAGAAACTTCAACCTCTTCAAATATTGGTGCGTCGAAAGATATACTCGATGTGTCCGAGATATCAGAAACAGAGTACGTGGAGCTGGTTGGTGAAGGTATGGATCGTCGTTTTGGTGATGCAATTACTGACTGTGGTGAATCTGGGGGACTATTATCGTACATGTCCAAGGGTCGCAATCGCAGTCGACCTGCGGTAGGGGATTGCTCGCCGCCCCCTGAAAAACGATCAACTTCGTCTACGACTGGGGTAGACATATTGGTTGGTGAGCTTGGGCCATCACCCCATTCTGCTATGATAGTTTCCGTATCAGATACATTACTAGCATGTCTCATAGTATTCGGTCGAATAGCTGATGGTCGCCGCGGTGTCGGCGCTGTGTTGCTGATTCTAGGAATCGATAGTTCCATCAGGCTCGACTTGATTTGATCCCCTGAGGTATCGAAATCATCCGGGGTAAATGATTCAGAAGAGAGTTGTGAGGAATCAAAAGATTCCTCCTCGGCTCTAGAGGGCGGGAATTTAAAAGCCTTATCGAGCCCAACGACTTGTAGACCACCATTGTCTGCAAGCGTTGATGTTGGCTCCATTCTAGGACTTTTGCCTCCCGATTGTTCAATTGCAGAAGGCGAAACACTTGGGGCAAAAGAAGAAACGTTTCTACTGTGCCTTTTGGAAGCCCGGGCAGCCTTAGCTGAGGCACGGCTACTCGCTGAGCTTGATGATTTCGAGCGGTCTAGTTGATGGCGTTCCTTATAAGTATCCACCAGAGACCAGACTTCATTTAGGTCTGTACTGTCTGGGGCTTGAAGACCCATTGTCCGTGGGCTTGAGGGAACGTGACGAGCTGGTGATTCGAATGATGGAAGGGAATCCGATCCTGTTAGGTGTGTGATAGCAGTAGATGGCCGGACAGCCAATTCGAAGTCAATCTCTCTGGAAACCGCCGGGTGATCGATCAGTGGTTGGGGTATATCTTCGAAAGAGTTTTCAGTCGAATTCTTCTTGGGTGTCTCCCTCGATGGGGAACCACGTAATTCAGAATCATTTTCGATGAATGAATCCATATCATGTATATCTTGGGATGTTTTTCGATGTTGAACGCCCGCCGCCACCATTTCATCAGTGGCCAGAGGCACGTCTCCGGCCACATCGAGCACCTTTTCGACATTGACATTTTGGATGCTCTCAGAAAACATCTGGCTCCCGACTTTCTGTACATCCTCAGGTTTGGAGTTTTCCCGTTGCTCATCCGCTGCACGAGATACCTCCTGGTCCAGCTCCTGTTGCCTTTGCGCCTCCAACGCGTCCTGGCTATCTTTTTCCTCTTGAACCTTGGCAGCCTCTTCCGCCGCAATTTCAGCCTGCTTTCTTGCCTCTTCCGCAGCTTGCATCTCTGCTGCCCTTCTAGCTTCTCCAACTGCTTTGATTTCCCTGGCCATCTTTTCCCACTCAACCTGTCTGATATGGCGGTCCACAGACACAACCCACTTTCCATAATCATCTTCGATTACCTCCATGCGGTCTAACCAAGCATCCGGCAGGGTGTCTTCTCGACCTTCCAGGGTATCCAGCATATAATCCAAATTCCGGCCTAATTCTGTAACTCTATCCCGCAATGAGTTTTTCATTATTTCAAAAATTTCTCGCGTTAACACCTGGTCAGGGCCTCCTCGGTACGCCGCTTCCAGAACCGCCCAGGCTGAATTGAGTGCTTGTTCGGTAATATCCAGAGACCACAACAAAGGTGGGACTTTTGTCAGCACAGCGAGCCTAATACTCCAGATGCTCAGAAGTCGCATCAATTTTGACAGGTTTGGTAGTGCCTGCAGAACTGTAGCTGTTACGATGGCGGTAAAATCGTCCATCATGGTGTATGAAGAAAATTGGGATGGCATAGGCGCATTGGAAGCAGAAGACGACGGACGAGACCATGCGGAAAAGTGTGTGTCCAAAATGCGCCTCTTGATTGATTCCACATCCAGGGCTTCCATGTCTTCAATGATTTCCTCCACTCGAACCTCGTATCGATCAACGTCGTCGGCTAGTAGACTGCCCATATATTCCGGGTCCTCAACATCTCTCGTACCATGTCTGTCCAAAATGATTGTAGATTCTCTTCTTTCACTGTAATTGTCCAGCGTCTTCCTCCTTTTGGCGGCTGGCATCTGGAAGCCCACGGAACCGCCAGCCTTGGGCCACGGCCAGCTAGACAGCTCTTCGACCCATTCCTGTATCTTTTTTGATGCCAAGGTCGCCCGAATTCCAAATTGACGTTCGGAGGTTGTCGCGGCTTCGATGCTTGCCTTCAATTTGCCGGATGGGTTCGCAAAGGCTGCATGGGTTGAGGAGGGAGAGAGGTCGGCAAGAATGTCGTCGGTAATGCGCTCTCTGGTGGGTGATCGCGAGGCGCTGCGCGAATGCGATCGATAAAGGTGCGATCCAGACGAGGTGGGCGAAAGTAGAGATGGGATCTCCATGACGCAAAGCTGTTTTGGTTAGTAGAAGATTGTCGATCGTCGAGACGTCGCATTTCTCATGGGTATTTGGGAGGGAGGTTGATTGGCAGCAGCAATTGCGGTCTGGATTTCAACATGGTAGATGGTGACTCCTTTCTTTTGGCGAGCAGTTGCGTATCAATTCATGTCGTCAGAGTTCGGAGAGAATAGCGCAAGGAGGTAGAGTTGTCTAAGACAAGGAGGGTTGGGGTTGGGGTTGGGGTTGGGGTTGCTGGGCGTAGTGGAAGCTCGGATGGAAAGATTCCCAAGGCTTGCCTGTACTCGTACTCCGTATTGGGTACCGACAGATCCAGAAGGCCGTGGAACGGTAGGACGAAAGTGAGGACTCCGGACTCAGGACTCGATTTCAGATTTTGTAATTCAAAGTTCTCCTGGTCGTGGCCGTGGGCGTAGAGGGAAAACCGGGAATCGAGTCAGGATGGAGTACAGCGGATCCTGCAGACGCGCCTTCGATGCCTTCTACGCCTACTACTCGTACACATCCATCGTCTCCTCTCCTTCTGCCTACTCACACTTACGTGGGCGAATAAATCTTGCGCAGCCGCTGCAGGGTCTTGTTGGCAAGCCGTGAATAACTGAATTATGCGGGTATGCATCCACTCTCCACAGCCACAGCCACACTTTCAGGGGTAATGTGGCGCCTCGGACATTTCTTGCCAGGGGCCGAGTGGAAGATTGGGGAACGGGAATAGCTTCGTTTTGGGCTCAAAGAGGAAATCTATTTACTTTCACTTGGTAAGCAGTCGCCATGTGACATCATAAGCATTGTGGCTGCAGTTGCAGTTGCAGCCAAGCGAAGATACGAGTAGCGTCCAGCGCGTAGTGTCGTAGAGTTCTTGGATGCAGTTCGTTCCATGCCGTTTGACTTCTTTTGATGGCGGCACGTAGGCGGGTACGAGTAACACCAACGAACCGAACCCCCCACACAACTCTCCCACCAATCAGGGCCATAAGGATTCGTCTGTCAGCATCGCGTGCCGCTTTTACCACGCAGGCAATCTCTTCCCTGCACCCAACACTAACCTGGAAAAGAATCTGGGGAAACTTTTGGTGTTGATAAAATCCGATATTGCCCTTGGCGAGCCGCAGCCTCTGAGCCCTCAACACCACTTGCATGAGTAACTGACACTTCAATGGCCGCAGCATGATACCAGTAAGTATATCTTCATCTTTGAACGGTGTTTGTGTGGCACTTTGTCTCGATCGATGTACAACGCTAACCTGGTCTAGCAACGATTTGGTCTTCAAGGCCTGCGCGCCCGACCACTGCAATCTCGAAACCTCGTTCCTCTGCGAAAAGTCCGGTCGAATTTACGCGCATATACTGCCACGGGTCAACGATTCCAGGATGTCTTCCATGCGCAAACCACCGATCCATCCTCCTCGGCCATCCTCTCTTCCCTCAAATCTCCACCTCGAGTCGCCCAAACCCTGACGGAAAAGATTGTACAGAGATACTCGTTAGGACTACCAGAGAACAAATTTGTGAAAGCTGGGGACTATGTCACTCTATCACCCCATCACTGCATGACACACGATAACTCCTGGCCTGTTGCACTGAAGTTCATGTCAATTGGAGCCTCCAAAATTCATGACCCAAAACAAATTGTGATGACCCTCGATCACGATGTGCAGAACAAGACCGAGACGAATCTCAAAAAATATAGTCAGATTGAGCAATTTGCGAAACAGCAGGGCGTCGATTTTTATCCAGCTGGAAGAGGAATTGGACATCAGATTATGGTTGAGGAAGGTTACGCATGGCCAGGAACCATGACCGTCGCAAGTGACAGCCACAGCAACATGTATGGAGGGGTGGGTTGCTTGGGAACGGCCATGGTACGAACCGATGCAGCCAGTATATGGGCAACGGGTAAGACCTGGTGGCAGATTCCACCCATCGCAAAGGTCACCCTCACCGGTGTATTACCAAAGGGTGTGACAGGAAAGGATGTCATTGTTGCGCTTTGTGGATTGTTCAACAACGATGAAGTCCTGAACCATGCTATCGAATTTACGGGATCCGAGCAGACGATGCGTACCTTGCCAGTCGATGATCGTCTAGCGATCGCGAACATGACCACCGAGTGGGGTGCTTTGACCGGACTTTTCCCAATTGACTCCATGTTACAAGCTTGGCTCAGGTCAAAAGCAACTACTTCGGCTCTTTTCGACGGAGAGAAGAAATCTCGGTTCACACACCAGAGCATCGATGACTTGATTGCAAACCAATTGGTGGCCGATAAAGGCGCGACATATGCCAAATCACTCTACCTCAACCTCTCCACCCTGTCACCGTACGTTTCCGGTCCTAATTCTGTAAAGGTAGCAACACCTCTTCGTGATTTGGAAAAACAGGATATCAAGTTAAACAAGGCATACTTGGTTTCATGCACCAATTCAAGAGCGTCGGATCTGGCAGCAGCTGCGAAGGTTTTTAAAGATGCTTCAAAAGATGGCGTTCCAGCAAAGATTGCACCAGGTGTGGAGTTTTACATTGCAGCCGCCTCGATACCGGAGCAAGAAGCTGCTGAAGATGCTGGAGATTGGCAAGCACTTTTGAATGCGGGTGCCAAATCCCTTCCAGCTGGCTGCGGTCCATGTATCGGTCTTGGAACAGGTTTACTTGAGCCAGGCGAAGTTGGTATCAGTGCCAGCAATCGAAATTTCAAAGGAAGAATGGGCTCACCTGATGCCAAGGCATATCTGGCGAGTCCCGAAGTCGTTGCAGCCAGCGCTTTGAGTGGCAAGATTAGCGGACCAGGCTGGTACGAGAAGCCGGTTGGTGTTGAAAAGGTTGTTCTTGGAGAGGGAAATGGCATTCCTGATGAGGACCGTGCTATCAGTGTGTTGGACGCACTCGATAAATTGATCGTGGATGCCGAATCCATTATTGAAGGCGCAGAATCTTCAGTCACTGGGTCATCATCTGACTCATCGAGTAGAGACGAAGGGGACGAGCAGTTGACTGCCATTCTCCCTGGGTTCCCTGAAAAGGTCGAGGGTGAGATTGTATTCTGTGATGCAGACAACATCAACACCGATGGAATCTACCCGGGGAAATACACTTACCAAGACGGCGTCTCGGTTGAGAAAATGGCAGAAGTGTGTATGGAGAATTACGACAAGTCGTTCGGATCCATCGCACGAGAAGGCGATATCCTCGTTTCTGGATTCAACTTTGGCTGTGGTTCAAGTAGAGAACAAGCCGCAACCGCAATTCTCGCCAAGAAGATCCCACTTGTCGTATCTGGTTCATTCGGCAACATCTTCAGCAGGAATAGCATCAATAACGCTCTGATGGGCGTAGAAGTCCCCAAACTCGTACAGAGACTTCGAGAAACCTTCTCCTCCACAACCGTAACTGCTAAAACCGATGTCAAGGAACCATCACTCAATAGCGAGAGTCTTGATTCTCCGCCGACCGCGTCACAAGCTAGTCCCGTGGAGGAAAAAGTGTTGACACAACGAACGGGGTGGAAGTTCGTGTGGGATTTGAAGAGGAGTAAGGTTATTGTCACGGAAGGAGAGGGGGGAGCCACGTGGAGTCAGAAGGTCGGCGAGTTGCCGCCGAATGTGCAGGAGATTATTGCGAGGGGCGGGTTGGAAAAATGGGTCAAGGCTGAGATTGGGGGGAAGTCTTAGATCTTATATTAGATTTTTTATTTTTTTGATGAAATTATAAAGATGTCAAATGTTATATATGTGTTTCTTTATGGGGTGGGAGGTTGTGATATTACAGTGTTTGCCTGGGTTCTTTTTAATAGGGTTTTTTTGTTTGTGCTTTTATGTGTCTGAACCTTTTTGATGTTGACAGTTACTCGAGTTTTGAGCGGTATCCAGTCGTTATTATTGGAGATAGGAGTTGAGACCTTGTTACTTCTCTCTTATATATATATATATTATTATTTTTAGGTGGTAATAGCTTCGCTTATACCCTTGAAAATAAAATTTAGACCAATAACGAGATCACCGAAAGATACAAGTCGTAAATTACTTTTATAGTAGGAGAGCTAGAGAATATAGTCGGTCTCTTGACTTATATCCAAGGTTTTATATATACTAGAAGTCTATTAGACTATAAGTACGCCAGTACCCGAGTATACTCCTTTTTTCTACTCCGTTTTTATACTCGTATTCTTGGTTTAATAAAAGCTAGCGCTCTCCTAGCGGCGTATGGATGTTCCACTACTTTGACTGTTGTATGTTGTGTGTTGTATAGTACTGGTTGTTGTGGTTTGATTGTTGATTTCTTGGTGGTGTGGTGGTGTATGGAAGAGATGGGATAGGGAGAGAAGGAATAGAGAGGGAAGAGAGAAGGAGAGAGAGGATAAGTAGTAGGTTATTACTAGTGTGATATGTGTATGTCGGTTTATAATAGTGAATGGTTATTAGCTAGCTCCGAGCGTAGCTCTCCTTTGGGACTAGCGTACTTTGGCACCTACAAGTACGTAGGGACCTAGCTAGCCACGCGGTGGACAGAATAGGTGGCGGAACACTCGCTGGTCCGTGCACAGTTTTGAATGAAAGTCGTTATATTTACTCTGAAGTAAAAGCACTCACGTTTTAATTACGTAAAGATATTTTCGATACCTAGTTATTATTCCTTCCTTTTTAATGTGACTCCTAAGCTCCTGATTAATATAGGCATTTTAAGCGTTTTTTAAGCGTACTTAGGGGGGTATATTTACATATAGAAAGTCATCGCTTATTGTGTACAGACCCATAGATGAACCGCTACTTTTTCTGTCTACCGCGAGCTAGCTACACTTGCTTAGGCATGTAATACAACAACATAGGACTTAGTTATACCACATAATACAGGTCCATTGCATCACCCATTTATTGACGATAAGTCAAACCAACAGTGTACCTTGCTTAGCTTTTTTGGGAAGGTAGTAAGTATTAGGGGCTAGAAATAAATGATGTGTATTAGGAGATTTATAAGGAACCCGCCTTTGTTTCTCTCTCTTCTGAAAATTACTAGAGTGTAGAGCTATACGATAGGAGGAAGGATATTATAGTAAGCAGAGCGCGGTAGTAAGGGTGTGACAGTGAGGATGATATAACTGTTGGAATAAATACAACCCCTTTTATTTACGTTACCTGATTAGACCCACTTGTTCTTGTACCTTAAGTACTCGAACGATACTACTCCTTAGTACTTAGATAACAATTAACCGAATATCCTATACCTTATTTCTTTACCTTGATATCCTAGATATCTCTATACTAACACTAATAACGAGGATACGATAGTAAGGATATAATAGTAGAGATACAGCTAGTAGGGATAGAGAATTTATATATCCCTCTATTCTAAAATGAGGTAGGGAAGTAGGGGTGAAGGTACAGAAGTAATAGTAAATATATACCTTTTATAAATTATAATTTGCGATTTAATCTCTTCCGACCTAAGTATATAATTATCCATTACTCCGTAACACCTTAGAAACCGGTAGTTACAACGCTCTAATTAGATTTAGCAAGTAGTTTACTTTAATTTAATTAGCGGAGATTAGCGAGAGTTCTAAGTCCATACCTAATTAGGAAGTTCTACCTACCAGTTTCCATCGTGTTACGGAGTGTTATGATGGGGATCAAGGAATAGATTGTTCGCAAGGAGGGAAGAGAGACGCTCTTCGCACTCCTTAGGTATTTGTCTATCTACGGAAGGGTACACCCGCAACTTCGCTAAGCGAACCCTTATTCACTAAATCAAAAACTGTCACACGGAGCAAGGGATAATACTATACTTTGGTACCTTTCTTCTTCTTTTTCTACTTCCGACTCTAGGCGGTGATGGCTGCGCTTCTTCTTCCTGGTGGGATTCGATAATTTTAATAACCAGTTCTCTTTTTCCTATGCTTAAAGCGAGCAGAAGTCTTGGTAGCCTTCCTGTCACAAGTATCTAATATTTACTGTTCATAAGCACGTGCCCTTAGTACCGCTATAGGCAGTACTGCACGTACTTATATTAATTAGCTCTACTTCGAGTTTCAGACTCTTTAGTTTGTTATTTTACTACATTTTTAACCTAATGATTTACCTCTATTCGCTCATCGTGACACCTCCCGCACTATGCGGTCCCATCGATTCTTGAGCCAAACTTTACGCTTGCCTCCTCTATATTATTCACTAAGCGAGCCATAATTCACCCATATCTCCCTATCCCTTACTCCGTACCCAATCTGGACCCCTGCCCCCTGTCCTTTCCCCCTTACCCTCCCCCCTGCCCTTCCCAAATTCCCGAAAAGAGTAAAAAAAACCTAACTCCTCCCATCTAAAGAGCGCAGCGTATCGAAAACCAGACGAACTGAGTTTTACATTATTATTTATATTATATGTACTATATATTTTACAAGGCTAGTACAGTAACCTTTGGGCATTTTTCGAACCACTAAGCCATTCCAGTTACCTAGGGTACCATCAACAGGTGTGTAATTGGTGGATTTGGTGGTGGGGGGGTTGTTGGTTGTTATGTATGTGTGTTAGGGGGCACGTGAGGGAAATGTGCTTAACCCCTGTAAGATCTTACCCCAGTCGCCCTGCTTCGAGGGGTTCGTAGTACTATAACAACGGAATAAAACTGGCCTAAAAAAGAAAGGATTATAGGGTATTATTTAGGAATAATTGTAGTTTTGAAATGAAGCTTTTTGAGAGTGGTTTGCTTAAGTAATAGGAAGTTGAAATAGGTGGCAGGGGTTTCAAGACTTAACGGCTGGACCTCTGTAGGCCTTTCCAAAAACTATAGTGCTACGGAAATAGCATTAAAATGGTGAAAATTCTGCGCGTCTGGTTTCTCAAGTCCTGGGCGCTCTTTTAGGAGTTTGAGTCTTATTTTTGAAGGGGGAAGGGGGTTTTGATATTCGCTTACCATAGCGGGGCGGGACCCGCTTTTTGGGCTTGGATTGGCGTGGTGGGACGAAGCAGTTTTTCTTGAAGGGGATGATTGGGATGGGTTTCTCCTTTTTCTTCTCCTTCTTATCCCGATGGTTTCTTTTTCTCGTCCTTCACTTTTGTTCTTGCTTGTTGTGGTGGGCTGAGTTGGTGAGGCCGTGCTATGCGTGTAGCAATAGCAACCACATGCATAAGGGTGGAGAGTCTGTTTGCGTGGAGTGGTCATCCGATATCAAGTGTGTTACTAGGTCCAGAATCCAGAGGTATATTGTTGGTCCTTTTTCGGGTGGGAATTTATTGAAAAACTATGGACGTACTGTACATGAACGATGCTATTCTAATATTGGTACTCGAGTATCAGTTTAACCGTTTAAATTGTCAACGCCCAGCTGCGGTAATGCTGACATGCAGCATTCTGCAAACTGCCCCGCGATCAGCCCTGGTGTCGGGAAGAGATGTAGCTCTCTGCATAGCCTTGTTCTTCTTGAGCAGTTCTTCTTGAGCAATTGATTCTTTTCCTACGTGCCTTCACATTCCATCAGCAATATTCTTCATCAATGCAAAAATTGTCTTCTAGCTCGCGAGAAACCTCTTGGTGATAATATTATGATGCCAGACCTTTCGGTACCAGCGAACGCCTTCGCTGTCGTGGGTCTTGCGGATGTGGTCCTCCGTCTCAGTATTGAGGTGGCAAGATTATATTAAAGATATTCGAATGCGTCGCAAACTGTCAACCGCTTGATCAGAGACCTGGGAAACCTCGCCAATATTGTTGCGGATGTGAGAGCTTTTACGGCGGATTACAACAATTCTCCTTTTATGGTTGACGACTCACTGTCTCTAGTACCACAGCTCGAAAATACGCTGCGAGATTGCGAAGGAGAACTGAAGGAGCTTAAGCAGATCGCTGAGAGTGCAAGAAGAAACGCCAGCGATGGCTGGTTTCAACATGTCAAAAAGGGATTTAGCTGGGCGATTGATGAAAAGACGGTGTCACAATCTTGTCAGCAGATTGAGAGACATAAGGCGAGTCTGAATACCACACTCAGCCTCACTGGAAGGTATGTATGAAGATGCACGGTAGTTCGCCAAATCAAAAACTGCAACTAACAACCATACAGGCAGAACGATCTCATTTTTCGTCAAGAAATTGAGGCCACCAGAAATGATATTTCCAGTGCCCAAGCTACCTCTGCCACATTACTTCGCCAGGTTGAGCAACAGATAACGACGACATCTCAAAACAACAGCGATGGCTTCCGGCAGATTTCTTCAGCCATCCATACATTTTCGCAGTCAAGCACGACGAATATAGAGCATCTGAACAATTCCATTGGAACTGTTAAGACGAATATCGATGGCCTGGACCGCAGTTTTCAGGCTCAATCTTCTACTCTGCACGCAGGGTTTTCTGGGGTCAACGAGAGTCTTATCTGTACTAAGAATGCGCTTCTAACTCAACAACAATCATCATCTTCCAGGCCTGAGACTAAAATGGACGGATTGTCTGCTTTAACACAAAAAATTGCGACGTTTAGTCTGCTGCAAACCGAAGACAATGATTTCATTTTTCAAGGCGACAAACTCGAATCAATCGTACGGCCTCTCATGTTATTTCAAGAAGATTTCACTAAGGCGGTGTGTACCCTGATGGCACAAGGTTCGAGGAAGCCTTTTAAGGCAGACGCTGAATGGATCCAAGAAGAATTTGAGAAGTTGATAGTTCGTGGTCACCAAGCCGCAACTGTCGCGGGGAAGAGGATATTAGCAAGGTTGCCCCCATTTCATACTGTCTCCAAGTCGGCTGCACAAATACTGAACGGCTCCAGAGGACTGGGCGTAAGAGCAGATGTCGCTCGTTCCTATAGGCCTTTGTAACCCACTTCGGCCAAAAGATCTACCAACTACCTCAGGTTCGAAACAGCTTTTGGTAGCATTATCGTGACCGAAACCTCCCAAACAATACCAGGAGGATCCTCTTCATTGAATTTACAGGTTTCATTTATTCCCAAGATTCAATTTCACTCCGTCGCAATAAAAGTATCGCTGGACAAAGTTTACGGTATGGAGCCCCAAATTAACCGAATCATACACACAAGCAATCTCATCCCCAGTTCCTCCAAAGCATTTACATGCGTACAGTACAATGATATTAAGGGATTAGAAGAGCTTTTTGCAAATGGTGAAGCCTCGCCAAACGACTGCGACGAGTATGGTTGGACTCTTATTCTGGTAAGAACATTCGAGAAATCAACAGTGAATAGTTCTGAGCCATTGACTTCTTTGAATCATCAGTATGCTGCAGTCAAATGTAAGCTTGAAGTTTATGACTGGCTGCTTTCCCAGGGTGCAGATACAACACTTGGTTTTAAGAAGTAAGTACATACCTTTGGGCGAAGATTTATATTGTAAAAGTTGACTTGTTGAAAGTTCTGTGCTGTTTATAATCTGGCTTTATGCGGACCGTTTTCCTCTGATTGATGCTTTAAGTATGACGCAGTCAGCTATAGAGCAGGGATGCGATCCCGAAGATCTCGCATATGGGTCTAGTAGCCGGAGTGTTCTTCATGAGTTCGTGCGGCGTTTTGATAAGCGTAAAGTCCGTTCTGACGAGGAAGCTTTTAATATCATTCACAAAATAATTGGACTGGGGTGTGATATCGACGCCTGCGATTCTTATGGGATGACACCTCTCCTGGTAGCTGGCTCGCTGGGAGATTTTCAAGAATTTCAAATCCTCGTCCGTATGGGAGCCAATGTTAAAGCAACTGATGACGATGGATGTGGAGCTCTTTATCTGCTACTGATCGGACTTGAGCGTGGAAAGACCGCTCAACAGCAAGCCGGTTTCCGCGATGCATTGGTTACAGCTCTCAAGCATGGATGTTCTCCGACTATACCAGACCATAAGGGAAACACGCCATTTGACGTAATCCATACTAGGTCTAAATGGCTTGTGTGGAAGGAGGTACTCCAAAAGACGGGATATAAGCTGATTGATGGTGATTTTGGTGCCATACCAGTCCTAGTTTCTACGGATGAAGAAGGAGTGGATCTAAGAGCTCCTATCTCAGGTAAATCAATTGAGAACTGGAGAGAAAGGGCGAAACCGTGGAGAGATGAATATTGGTGCCAGGTTGAAAAACGTTGGAAGCTTGAGTGGGAAGCAGAATATGCTGAGTTAGTAAGGAGGAAGAATCGCGAAGTGAGAATTATCTCATGAAAGTGGGGAGTCGAGTTCAGAGAATACAGGAGAACAGACCTCGAGGAAGATTTAGGAAGCAGACAAGCCCCAATGTCAGAACCACGCCCTGGCACTTAGGCTAGGATCACCTATTGTATAGACTTAACAACGAAAAGGTCGTACACGATTGGGATACTACGAAGTATCTTCGTGAATGTGAGGATGTGGGCGAATGACCACTGTTTAGAATTGGCGTCTCGTTAGTATAGTAAAACACCTTCAACAAATTTGGAAGCCGAATGTCACTGATTTTGATCCCACAGACTGAACAACTTCATTGCCTTAAAAGATTAATGATTTGTAAAAAAGGGCTCACAGGGAATTTCATGGAGTTTCTTTCTGCCATTATTCCCAAGGGGATAACTACCCAGGAATACAAGACGTAATCTTGTGAATAAATTTTGGTCGTATATTCAAAGAAAGTGGTAAATGGCGTCTAATTCCCTTAACTTTTAAGTATAATTTGTCACCGAAGTTTCAATATTGGAATGCAAATTATAACTGAGATACTTAGAACGGTGAATTTGTCGGAATGAGGGATATTCGTAGGAATTGCTTCGCTAGTACTTCTCAATTGTGCCTACCATCCCCACCACCAACAAAGTTTCACCCGTTGTCACTATTCCAACTTCATAACCACAGGCGTTTTTGTTGTTACTTACTAGAACAAACTTGCCAAACCAGCTCGGTGTATATTCTCCTCCAGAGTTCCGTCCAGCAAAATATTGAAAGAGCCCTTTTCAAGTTGGCACAATGAGTCATTACCCGGCAGCTGGTTAGTTTGCAGATACGCTGCTATTTTCGAGAAACCACAGAGGTTTTGTGACGCAGTAGTTGGTATGCTGTAACGTAGTCAGCACTAAAGAAAAGTCTATTCACCAAAGACTATGCACTCACTCCCATCCCGTCAATCCTAAGCACCTGCGCGCCCCTATAATTCCTCGCTGACGATATCGCACTCCAAGTATATGTTAGTCTCACTCCACAGGAGGCAACAAACAAAAACCAACTTTTCAATCGGCGTAGCACCATCATAAGTATTCCCCACAAACAAAATCGGCGTCTCAGTCACACCCCCAAACGGCCCCTCAAAAATCTCCTCCGCTTTCACACCCCACCCTAAACAGCCCAGAACGGCCATACTCCACACCTCACCAATAATGCTTTGTTCCTTCAACGCTTTGAGCTGATGTCGGAGGTCCTCGAGAGTTTTGTTATACCATTTGTTGTTTTGGTCGGAACATAGGGTTCCTAGGCGCCAATCTGGACTTTTGTAATTTGCAGGACCTGGGGAACCGAAGATGGCGCCGGTGGCAAGTGCCCACGAGGATAGAGTCTGATTTTGGAGGGCGCTTTCGAGGTCTAAGAGGACTTGAGGGATGATGGGAAAGTACTCGAAAGGCGAGTGAGCTGGTGAAAGGAGTGAGACTTTCAGTGTGAGCAGGGCGTCTTGGAGCTCGGTTGCGTTGCTCCATCCTTCACTCTCTGCTTTCCTTGGATCAAGTTGCATGAAGGAAGCATTGAATCGATTGAAGATATCTTTTGGAGTTGATCCTGTATTGTAGGCACATTTCGAGGAACCTGCTTCATGGCAATAAACAAAGAATGCGGCGAGTAACTCATCGAGGTGGCTTACACTTGCTGATGTAAAGTTTGTCAAGTATCCGGCTGGGTCAACGACTCCGTCTAGGATTACATTTCCAACTTGCGATGGGAACATGGAAGCAAATGCCTGACCTAAGAAAGTTCCGTCGCTTATTCCGTAGTAGTTTAGGAGATTTGAGGGTTTTGCTGAGCGTTTTCCGTCAGGTGTTAAAGCGAAGGCATCGATTATTGAGATGAGGTCACGGGCTACTGTTGCAGTTGACATGTGAGGACCTATTGCAAGATTCATGTCAGTCGTCTTTTACCAATAATCCGAACAGCTCGAAAAAGATAGCGTACCAGCATCTCTTACCCCTCCACTCCTCTCTTCACACTCTTTGCCAACCTCTCTTCCAAACTCAATAAACTCCTCATAAAACTCATCAGTCACTCTCGCAACGCCCCTACCCTTCAATCCCGTAACAGGGTTCACATCCCTATGATCCGAGCAATTCGCCAACGGCTCACTTACCCACATCCCAATTACTCCCTATGATACTTTGGATGAGAGGGCCAGATGTGAATGCCTCTTCGACGCCTGAAGCACCTGGACCACCCGGGTTGAGGAGCAGCATGCCTTGGTAAGGTCCTGATGAGGAGTTTGTGGTAGCGGGGTATTTGAGCAAAGGGACTGAGGCGAGACCGAGGCTATGGTTTTGGTAGGAGAGAGGAACCTGCTAGTGGTTAGTTTGATTGAGGATATCGGGAAGTAGGTGCACCAACAGAGAGTTTGGCGCAGAGAAATCCTGGGTTGCAAGGATGCCATTTGAGGGTTTTGGATGGTTTTATTTGTTGGAAAGTGTATGGTGGGGAGGTATTCGCTGTTGTTGCAGCTATGAACGCCGAGAAGACGAGAAAAAGTGGAAACTTCATGGTGAGAGGTAGAGGTGAAATGAGTGTAGGTTGAATGACAGTTTGTCAAAATGATTATGAGTAAATGGGAAAGAACCCTTTGGAAAAACGTACCTCTTATATATATAAGCCTGGTATGTCACAACAAGTAGGATGAGAAATGCGGCGCTCCATACAAATTCGATAACGTGGGTCCTTGTAACACGATCTGAGCGAAGTGCAATGAACACGAGATTGCAGAAATCTAAACATAAGATAGGACCTGAATCTCAGTTCAGAATGATATGGTCTGAGGCGTAGTATGCGTAACCCATAAACACAAAAGTGTTGTCGCATGGCGGGGACTTAGAGACAGGGGTGCTCGCTAAAGGTCGCTAACCTCGTAAGGGCCAGTTTTTTCATCTTAAAGCCCACCCACCGTATGACATCCGGCTCGTAAGGACCTACAAAACTAAGAATTTTCTCGTTTTTTTGTTTTTTGAGGCTGTGTGGGACCCTGCCACAAGCGATACACGTTCTAAATCACGAAGAAATTAGTTGTGGTAGTATGATAGATCTCATCGTTTTTCTCGAGCGTTTTGATTGGTCGAATCGTAAGGGCCCTGTCGTTTACTGTAAGGGCCAATGAAAGAAAAAAGCTACAATTCGAAGCGACCCACAAAATGAAAAAGAAATAGATCTCTGGAATTCCCATTAGGTGTGCTGCTTTTCTAACTGTAGTTGTTATTTCTGGCAAGGCACAACGTCCCACAAAGTACAGTAAGAGATGTAATCATTACTCCTAAGTTAGAATGTTATTGCCCTAAATGCCTTGCACAACAGAAATAGTTGTGGGAGCGATCTGGGATAATTGAAAAGAATTCATCTTCATTATCCAAAGTAATTTAGGACAATTAAGTTGGTTGTTCTAGGACTTTTAGCTCAATAGGGTTTTAAGGTGTGTTCAGAGTCATGGACATGTTTCTTACATTCTGCAAATTATCTGGTGGCTCTAAATTCTTTCATGACTGACTATCTTCTACCAAGTAAATATCTTCTCAACCACCTTGATTTCTTTCTCGGACCCCTTCTCACCTTGAGTATACTGCAGTCGGCCCCCTCTCGCATCAATTTCAAGAAACGGCTGAGTGCTAGTTTGATTCGGGCATTCCATAAAAGCCTTAAAGCCACCTGAAGCATTCCCTTCAAGTTCCATAATCCTCTCCGCGGCCTTCGCAACCAAAATACTATTCCAGATCCCCTCCTGTCGTGGTAATGAGCGGAGAATGGCGATGGCTCTCCGGCGAATAGTAGCATCTTGCCAATGGCTAGCCACCGTATATATCGGAATGATATAACCCATATCCAAGCAAAAAGAAGTGGCAGTTCCTCCAAGAATATAGCTTGCTGAATTAGAATCAATGATTTTCTCGCCAAGGTCTAGAATTTCTCTGACTTCGGGCAGAAAGCCAGTACACTCGGTGGATCTCTTATCTGGAGGCAGTAGTTCAAAATTCAAGGCTACTTTGGCGCTTAAAACATGAAGGCGTAGAATATCCATGGCAGTCTGTTCTTTGGGGGTAATGGACGGTCCTTTCGATTTCTTGAAATCTTCTAGAGCATGCGAGAAGTTTGACAGGAGAATTGAGAAGTCGGCCATGCGGCCATCAATACCGGAAGCGGGCATGGAATGATCGGAACCCTGAGCTGCACAATGGCTTCTAAATAGACCAACTCCATACTACAAAACTTTAGCACTTTCTTTTGTGGAGAGAGGCCATTTGGGACACCAAAATTGCCATTCAGTTTTCAAGATACTTAGATAGTCAATAAAAAGGGAGAAAGACGTGATTGAGTACCTCAAAAATGTATTTAGCCTCCTCAATACAAGAGAATGATATCGGAGTGACACTGACTGCCTTGTCCGAAAACGGACTGTCATGAAGGTGAAATTGGTCCACTCCTCCCATCTACTCATATGCATGCATTAGCGAAGGCAAAATCCAGATATCACGGATGGGCTTTCGCACCATAGCGTCTTGTAAGCCAAGACCCGAGAATATCCTAGCAAGAGATTCCAGTGGAACGTAACATTCTGCTGTACTTTTCGAACCTAGCACTTGGTGTTCAATAGATCCATTCTGACGATCAAGGAGAGTTGCCCAAGGAGCTTAGCGCCACTCTGGATATGAGATAGTGCAGAGAGGTGGTGACCTTGCATATTCTAGATAGTTCAGCTTAGTTGTGTAAAGTGATAAGATGGCATGACAATTTACCTCGACACAGGTGAAAAGAATACAAGCAATAAGGCAAACGTCGACTCCTCGTCCTTCTTTCCGAGTTATCGGAATCAACAATTTATTGATTGCCGCATTGTACTGTTCCAACGCGAAAATACGATTGACCTGCGGTATTGGTGCGTTGTGTTCAAACAGTTCGTGAAGTGAGCCTATAGCAACAACACCATGGCGAATAGCTGGCTCATGATGTGCAGCTTGGAGGACGAGTCTTTCCCAGAATTCAGCACCGGAAAAGCCAGCTAGTTGGTGACGGGTACGATGTACAAAAAAGGCAAATGACCGATGCGCCTGTGGAGATGCGTGGATATTCGTGGAAATCGATGTGTTCACTACGATATTTGCCTGCTGCGAGATCTGTGCTTTTTGGAGAGCCGGGGTATAACCATCACAGGTACGGCCTGTTGACTCGCATCTGATACATGCAGGATGTTTTTCATCGCACTTTACTCGACGTACTGCATAATGGTAGGAATGTTAATTCATGGTACTTTTTTGGTTGCACCAGGTTCGAAAAGCTTACTCCTGCAAGTTTGGCATCCTGTACTGGTTTTCGGCTTGTACGCTCGCTTTCTATTCCCCTTTTTTACTTTTGTCATGGCAGAATTCACAAGTGTAGAAAAGTATTAGTTGAGTATGGCTGTTTAAGCTCAAGACCAAGCAGTCATCAACTCGTCGTCGTGGTTGCTATTTTAAGCACCCTGTACCGAAATGGAGCACAACTGTGCCGCAGATAATGATACGTCATATTTCAATATTTACAGTACTGTGCAGTGGTGTTCGTCAAGTAGTTGGAGCCAAATCAATCATTTCTGGTGTATATTAGGGCAACAGATCTCTCAAACCAACTTTGATGGACTCATACGTAAAATAATCCAGAGGTACGTCTATATTGGAGTTGGATTATGCTATGAGGAGAAACGTGACATCACCTGGGCAAAATGACGAGTGACACGTGATAGTTTATCACCTTCCTTTCCTGAGGTCCCCCTCATTCCACACGAAAAGACGTAAAGTTTAAGTCAAATTCTCTGATCTAATGACGATGGTGGTGGAGATAGACATAGTCATCTGAAGAACGTTGTGTCAAATGCGGCATAAAGTTGAGGCGCAAGTGGAAGACTCGCCCGAATCATGCACTGATAACTCAACCCCGAAGTCTTGCTGGGAAAGGCAAAACATTTTCTTTCGGCGATAATTGACACACTTATAAGTAGGTTGAACGACTTCAATTCTTTGGAGGATTAAATAGTTAAGTTGAGGAAAATTCAAATACAGACGGAAAGAGAAAGTCGGCAACATAAATCTATACAATTAATCTTGGCACCTAAGACTGGCTATCTGACATCGGCGTAAGCCAATCAATACAAACCGATTGATGAACTATAAGCTCGATTCCGACAAGCGCACGAACATCGGTACGAATTGAGATTTGCGGGGATGGCGGGGATGGAGACCGTCCAATGCTTCGCTCTTGGTTGCGAGGCAACCTCGCTTAATAGCATTGTGAAACTAATCCCGAAAGGTATGAATTTATATCTCGGAATATAGGCACATGCGTAAGGTAAGTATCTTCGATCTCAATAACACCATGACGTAACACACACATTGTATGTTTGTTAAATGCCAAGGTAGTCCTCTCAGCTCTGGCTCATCCGACAATTTATATGTGATCTCAGGGCCTCATATTAAATTTTGGTGCCCTTCGATACTCGAGTGAACTTCTTTCATCTCTCTAATCCTTGGAATCACACGATCATATATTCAATACATTGCTAAATATCTCCCACTGATCCTTCAATCTAAAATATTAGCAACTATGAAGATCTTCGCTGCTCTTCCATTGTCGGTCCTCTTTCTCGACTCGGCTATAGCTCAAGTTATAAACTGCACGAAACTCGAAACGTCAGAAGATTATGTCAATGTGAGTAACCAACAATACCCAAATTTATTTACTCTTACATGCTGCTAACGTTGACATTGTCAGTGGCCCACAGAGGTCAAGTGGTATGTGAGTGAACCCATGTGTTCGAGACAACATCCCGATCGAGTATACTAAATTCTCTGCAGTGTCCAACCAGGGATACTCAACCTTCGGACGACTGCAATTTCATTGGTGAAAATGACCAAGCAGAAGTTGAGCGGAAATTCTTCTTTTGCGTAGGTACTTTTGATTGTTTTCGATGTCGAAACTTTCGTGCTGATTAGGTATAGTGCGGCAGCTAAAAACATAATGTTGTATTATATTAGTCTTGGGTTTTGTCTCTCAGGCGTGTCGGGTATTCCTCTGAATGGCACAAAGTAGCATACTAGCGACTAAAACATATTGTTTTAATTCTTATTCCTGGTTTCTATGTATTATAACACACAACACACAAGCCATTTTCGTCACTAGAGTTTGTAAAAATATCCCCGTTTCGATCGTGCATGAATCCGGTGTGAAGCAGAGCTATCTGAGCCAATCTTTCTTCAGCTACAGCCGATTCCACTCCAATACCTCGTCAGGAATATTTATTTGATCGCTCGCCAGATTTGATGTGTCCCATTTCGATTCTCAGTCTCCAATTATGAATCTCTAGGGCCATCTCACTTGATGAACTTTTAACGGCAAGTTAGTTGAAATAATAAAAGATATGCGCTTACTTTCGTGGTACGCATGCTCTACAGGATTTGGTCACGAGGCTTCAACATGCCAAGGTCAGCAAAATAATAACAAAAATAAGTACTCTCCTCCCCCCTCCCCCTTCCCCCTTTTAAAACCAATACAGTACAGTACCGGGCGTTAAGTCTGAGCCATTTTAAGCGAGACCTACAAAATCCACTTAGATAACACGACGTATACCCTAACACTCCTTCTTTCCTATACATAAAACTTCTTTAAAATGCCTCCGATTCGTAAGCCTTTGGCTAATATTTCGAAGAAAAGAGAGTTTAATGGCGAACTATCACCCTACTAAAGAGGTCGTATTATTGGAATAGCGTATATAGGTATTAAAACACGAGAGATAGAAACTATCCTAGATATGTCCCGCGGGGCTATACGTAACCCCCTCTCCCTAGACGACCTTCGCGATAGAGGAGAGACTCTATAACGCGCCGGTAGACCGATAGAGTATTTAGAAGCGACGGTACGAAAGGTACTAAGACTACTACCCTTAAGCGTATCCTTCGAGAGAACAGTATAACTAATTAGAGGGCTAGACGCCGCCCGACTCTTATAGAGGCAAATACAGCTACCCGACTTGCCTAGTGTCTAAAATAGAGGTATATCACCGAGGAGGAATAGGGCCTTATATGTTAGAGTAACGAGTGTTCTATAGAGCGGGGGCGGGGTAAGCGAGCTGAGTAGGTGTTTCGTACTACTAACTAAGTATAGAATCGGGAGATAATCTAGACGTACGACTACAAGAAGAATATAAAGGTTATAGTCTAGGGGTACTTTTAGGACCGCGGGAGGACTAACCTATATATTACAGACCGAGATTTTAAGTCTAAGAAGTATAAGTATAGCATAGAGAACTACCTTAAGGTTCTTAAAGCGGAAGTAGCTCTAATATTCGAGAAGTTAGAGCAGGGGGGTAGGGGGTACCTCTTTATATAAGATAATACCTCTATTTATACTACTAGGAAGGTTAGAGACTAGTTTGTACTTCACGAGATCGATATTTCAAAAGGATGGCTACCCTACCCCCCTAATCTTAACCCGATTAAGCATATCTAGTAGTTACTAAAAGTACAAGTCTTTAAGATGTTTCCTGTAATAGCTATAGACAAATCTAATAGTAAGGATTTAAGGCAAAGGCTTGAAAGTACTCTATAAGCAGCGTAGGATACTTTAGATAAAGACTCCTTTAACATTCTCTATAAGAGTATGCTAGCTAGAATCGAGGCTTGTATCGCGGCAGATAGCTAGCATACTAAATATTAGAGTAGAGTTTTTGTCCGATTTTAGATTTGAATAGCACATTTTATAGCCCTAACTCAGGGGGCTCTTTTCATTCAATCCTTATTAAATTCTAGTGCGTATTAATGGTGATACACCTGTATACATAGGAGTAGTTGTGGTAGGGGAAATCGGCACTCGGCTAAATAGCTCAGACTTTCCGCCTAGTACTGTAGCGCCTTACGTACTCAAAAGATCGCCAAGAAGAATGGATACTAGTATGGTCAAGACATAATCTTCACGAGCAATACCTACCTCACTTTGAGGAGGTCTTTCTGGTCGATAGAGACGCCTGATTGCATACTTCAGCGACGGGAAAGTCTTTTTCATCCTGTTGATGAAAATTTTCCTTTTAATACATAGTCTGGAATTGGCATGGGGGCTTGAGTCGCGTGGTTGTGTTATGATTGAATTCAGAGTCGATGCTCGGTTGCCACCCCCGCAATCCATTTTCGAAGGTCAAAAGTCTAGAGAAAGGGCGAGGGCGAGGCCAGGTGGATTCATACTTCGGAAAGATTCAAAGTACTATCTTCCTTTCTCGGTGCAGAACTGGATCTCGCCATGGTAGCGTGATGGCTCGAGGTTAAGTCGAAGCGAGGGGGAAGTAGCTACCTTAAGATGATGGTTGTGTAGCGTTCACGCTGGCTACCTGCAGGTTTACTGCAAGTCAATTGACTGCGGTGGAAGAGGAAGCTTCCCTATGAACATGAAATCATCGCATCGCCACCTTCACAGGCTCCTCTACAATAAATGAGCACGAGCCTACCAACCACATTGAACTCTCATCAACCACGCCTTTCACAACTCATCGTACCAAATCACCTTCGCACTGCGATACCACTTTCAATCGATAGTCATCCAATTTGGCCGCAAGGAGTTTGGTTCACGAGGCTCAAATAACGCGGCCTCATCAGACAGCTGATGTGATTGGGTTGTTTGCCCATATGCAGGGGGCACAACAGGGCGATCGCCAAACTGCGCCTCCCACCATCAGCAGCGTCAGCCTCTTCCTTCCTTGCGAGTGAGGCGAAGGAATCATTTTGGGTGCTGTGTTCGTTATGGAGGATTAATTGGGGGTCATATATACGAGCTGTTTCCTTCTATGGTTGTTCTTTAATTCTTGGCATTATTCTGTATCATTTCCCTCCTCTTCTCGCGATATCTACTGGGAAATTCACCACGCTATATCCATTCACGTAGACGGGCAGCAGTGACGTCAAATAAGCAACAACTTTGAGGCTTGTGAAATAATCTCCCGGAATAGCTCAAATACACTTCTCCGTCCTTATTTCATAGTCGAGCTTCGTTTCGTCGACCAAATTTGTTACTCGTATCAAAAAAACCACAAAGATGGATACCAAAATACCCCAAATCAACGAACCAATCAATACCACCTCTGAACAATTCAGACAGCCGTCTCCTCAGCCCCCAGAGCCAAAACAAAGTCTCTGGGAACGAAGACCTCAGGCTCTCGCTGGTGATGACCCACCGCCGATGTATCCAGCCGAAGCCTATAGCCAGAGTCAGAATTCAACCCAACAACAAAATGTACCTCAGTATCAACAACAACAGCAACCAAAAGCTTTTAGTCAGCAAGACGTGGGATATGGAGTTCAGGGACACCAAGGGCACCAAGGGCACCAAGGGCACCAAGGACAACCAGGACAGACTGTGGTTTATGTCCAGGGAAAAGATCGGAGGCGGGAAGATGTTGGGGTGGGATTCTGTGCGGGATGTTGCGCTGCATGTTGCTGTTGTGGCTGTGTTGTGATGTGAAAGGGGTGTCGGTTGTATGATTTTCTGGTTGGAGTGGAGGGTAGTTGGAGTGGGGGCTTGGAGTGAATATCGAATGGTTTGGATTCATCCTGGCGTTTCTGTGGTGAAATCTTGGTCATCTTACTGGAGTTGAGTATTTTCTGGGGACTCGCATTTCCTCACCGCAGTCTGAATTTGGTTTTTCTTTGTATCTTATTGGGCGGGGCAGTTTCATATGCACTTAGACGTCCTGTTGATCAGGCAAGTCTAGGAAAAATCGAGGTTTTACTCTTCCAAAATTTAAATCTGTACTACTTCTCGCTTAAAGAGGTTGGGCTTCTCAGAAATTGTATTTAGCAAGGGTATTGGTAACCCAAAAGGTGCAATTGATTAAAGTCCACTCACAATGCCCGATGGAGCAGGACAGTAACTTGAAAGGCAAAGATGTTGGAAGCGAAGACCGCTGATCTTAGCGAGCAATATAGATATACTGTTGGCAAAGGGCATTTAACCCGAGTTGAGTAACCACAGCATCACGAATATGGGGAGGCTTATTACCGCCAGTTGTATCTATCACCAGCGATTTTCTGTTCGGTTCTCGCTTGTGCTTGTTCAAGGGTTTGCCAGTTATAGTGTACTAGACGAGGGAAGCCGCAGGTTACGAGTTGCAAAGTATCTTTTATCCATATGACTATAGCACTCCGTAGTCTTAAGCCATAGCCGTATCTCATATATTCAACCTCCATCCCCACTCACTTTCCCACTCGTTAATTCAACCAACGACTTCAGGACCCTTGGAACATACACATTTCTGCACACCATTAATGCATTGGGATGCTCCCGGGTTTGCGGGCTACCATCAATCAATACCAAGGAACAGGAAAAAGACCTTGAAACTCTCGAATGACAAAGAGAAACCTTTCCAAAAGGAATATATGGGTACTTACACTGCTACCACATTCTGTCACACATTTCTGGAAGTCGCAAACGGCCGTACTGACAGAGGCCAGTGCGAGAGTGACTAGGAGGGTGAGGCAGTATGATTTTATAGTGATGAGAAGTGTGTGAGATACTATTAAGTTTGATTTTGTGTTTTCACTTGTGGTGATTAATCGTGGTTCGTAAAGATGGAAGTAGGGTAGAAGCAAAAGCTGAAAAGGGCCATGTCATACTTCTTATATACTCCTACGAGTACTTTCCAGCTTCATTACAAGTAATGTCCCCAGTAATGGCGGGAAAAAAAACAAGGATACTCCAAGATTAATAACAGTGTACCGTGGCGGTAGGTTACGTCTGAATTAAGCTCTCGTATTTGGTTTCGAATTTATCTAAATCTATAGGAGAGCGTGGCAAACAACTCTGCCTTTATCAAGACAACTTAATACTTTATCTACGGAGTACTCGTAATACTTTGTAAATTGGTGACTAAGCAAACTAGATTTTCCGAAGAGAAGAAAGGCGGAAAACAATACTCCTCACATTAATAGTCAGTGCGTTCTTCCTATTACGCTGTCGCGCTTAACCTCGTTATATTGACAAGCTTACTACTTCTACGGATGGAACTTTAGACTAGAAAGTTCAAAACCCTCTTCTAATAGGGGTAAAGGAAAGTTAGTTAGCACGAATCAAGAAGTTATAATTACCTCTTAACCCTAGCCCTAGTATTTATACAGTAATAATATACGGCAATACTCCCGTCTGTTTCTAACATTCTAAAGACTTTGTTCTGACTTCTATCTGTTATACATGGTCACGTGGTGTCTCTTGATTCCCAGCAAATGGCCAGACTCTTGAATTTATTCTTATCCAAACTTTTGAAAGAATGATCTTATCATAATTCAAAGACATTGGCCTTAAAACCCGTGTGAAACTGTTGGTATTCTGGCATTATCGTCAGGTGATCGGCTTGATGAAGGGGCCGTGGGATAAGTGGGGAATGACGATATTGAAGCTTGATAGATATCATCCTCGATGAAAGCTCACAATTTCTTAATAAATCATCTACTTCACAAACAGTTTCTCATATATTATTCTCTCTTCTCCACATGGTCTTGTTTCGCACTTCAAGTTTTCTATACCTTTTCAGCAACCGCGATAGTCCCAACAGCGAAAATGACAAGCCATTCAGTCACAAACAGAGAGCCGGGGAAAGATTCCGCAAAGGCACCTCATACCAATATGATGGTAGACTGCATTATCGCGAATCTGCCTGAAGAAGCCTTAAGATCAATCATGCGTGGACTACTAGGAGGCAATCCCTCAATCACCTCCTCATTTCAAAAACAAGTATCGAATTATCTCACAAGTACAAAGCCGGAGACAATTCCCGAGCTCTTCGACACATCTCAGGGATCACCGAAGCCAAATTCATCATTTCAGCATATTCAAAGCAGATATCGATGTCTGATGGGCTGTGGATATGGGTTTGAAAGCGTAAAGATCTTGACTGAGATTGTACGGCAAGTTGAGGCTTTGGAAGTAGATGCGAGTGAAGAGGATGGACGAGCGTTTTTGGAGGTTCTTGAGATTGTTGATGGGGATATTGTACAGTCGGTGACGGCGATTCAGAAGCAGTTCTCGACAGGTTCTGGGGTTCGTTCTATGATTGTGGAAGAATCGGAGACGGTCGCTGAGTTCAAAGAAGCTCTCTCTTCACTTAGAGAGAAGCAATCTGCTTCTGAGCACTCCAAGCGAAATTTCCCGGTGGATTTCCCGTTCGAGCGAGGGATGTCTAGGGTGGAAAGTTTGGATGGTGGAGATGATAGAGTGAAATCCACCAACACAAAGGCTGTTAGGACCGCATCCACTGGGTTCGTTTCTGGAGGTTGTAAGCTCGAATCTGTGAGATTGGGAACTGCTGAGGTTCCGCGTATGTTTATGGGACTTTGGCAATTTTCTAGCCCTGCGTGGGGTTCTGCGTCGAAATCAAAGATCAACAAGCATTTACGACAACATGTCGATGCTGGGTTGGTTGCTTATGGTGAGTAAGCCTGAAAGTTTGCTTTGCTGTGGTATTACCGTATTGCAGGATGTCATGTAGGCTAATAAAATTGAGTTAGATATGGCTGATCATTATGTGAGTTTATGAAAATTACTGTTTTCTCCGCGAAGAAGACAGCTAACACAGGGGACTTTAGGGTGACGCTGAAGTAACATTCGTAAGTTACAATAGCTTTAATGAGCATCTGCGGAGTGAGTAACATTCATACAGGGTCAATTTCGCTCCTCCCAACCAGATTCCGAGAAAATCTACTGCGCCACAAAATGGGCAGTCTTCGAGCCTATAAAAGTGACTCCAGAAGTTGTAGCAGCAAACGTCACAGAGCGAATAACAGCACTAAACTCAACTTCTATCGAACTACTTCAATTTCATTGGCAAGATGTAGGAGCCACTTCCTTTCACAGGAGAAACCATTGCCCATTAACTAAATATAGTACGGCGACAAACAATACATCGAAGCTTCACAATTACTCGAACAAGACCCCCGTGTCTCAAGTCTCGGCCTATGTAACTTCGACACCGAGCACATGAACGAGATTTTAGATCATGGAATCAAGGTAGCATCAAATCAAGTCCAAGTACGTACACCAATCCATCAGCCCTTGAGCGTGAAAGCTCACATGAACCAAGTTCTCCCTAATAGACCTCCGTCCAACATTCAAAATAGCAGAAAGCTGTCGAAAACACCAAGTCAAACTCTTGACCTACGGCTCATTAGTAAGAAACTTCTTCTCCTCACGATCAGAATGCGTCATTAATAATGAGCAGTGCGGTGGCTTCCTAGCATCTAAATGGGTTAAAAAACCAGCACCCAATCTCTTCGACAAGGACATGACACCCAGCCATCGAAAATACCTCGAAATGATCACAATCTGGGGAGGCTGGTCTCTCTTCCAGGAATTACTGGAGCAACTCGCGTTTATAGGCAAGAAATACGGCTTTTCGATATCGTGTGTGGCTATTGGATGGGTACTAGATCATGATTATGTAGGCGCTGTAATCATTGGAGCGAGGATGGGGATAAGCGAGCATATCGAGGAGAACTTGAAGGTTTTCTCATTCCGTTTGGATGGTGAGGATAGAGAGGTGATCCAAAAAGCTTTGGAGAAATCGAGAGCTCGGGATGTTTTTGAGGCGATGGGAGATTGTGGGGCGGAGTATCGTTAGTAGGGTTATATATACACTCAAAACACGTTAATGGAATACTTATAGTCTATATAAATATCTTCCCTTCCTTACCCTTAAGCTTTAGCTAGCCCTAAGCTTGTCTTACTAGAAATAAAGGATTCACCCGCTACACAAGTATTCTTGCCTATTCCTTAGACTTAAAGCCTCCTTTATATTTACTTAATATATCCTTACTTTTATCTATAGGGTAGTTACCTAGGTACCTAGGTAGTTCCTTAGTATTATTCACTAGTCTACAAGTAATCCGACAAGATCCCACCTAGGCAAAACCCCAAAACTTTTGCGTCCAAACTAAGATTACGGCACAAGAATTATAGGATGATCCGTGAAATTACGAAATTTGGATTCTAGTGATATACGTATAGTACGCTTGAAGGATGCGATTTACTAAAGCCCGTGAAGTACGTGAGTCGATTTGTTCCCTTCGAAATATCGCTTAAAAAGCCTACTGTTTACTTCCCCCTTTTAGTCTCGGAAGCTTAATTGTTAGGCGAGATTTAACTATGCTTTCGCCTAGGTTCGTCCTTGAAAAATACAGAAGATGTGTCCAAAATGTATACCATAAACATCATTTATTATTCATTTCAACCATGTTCTGTATATACCCAAACCCCGAATTACCCCTACCCCTCAAGAATGAATCTTTGGACAATTCTTCACCATACAATTCCTCCTCCTCTGCATCCCCCCCGTCTTCCCAACACAAACCCTAAAGCCCTCGTCCTTAAAATGGCGTCGCTGATGAAGATACCACTCCTCAGGCGCCATCAATCCCACCCACCTCTCCTCATACTCCCAGCAAATCCAGCAGGCTAATCTCTCCACACTCACCACCTCCTCCCCAGCTTTCACCTTCTCCGCATTCTCCCGCGCCGCATTCGCACTCGGCGCAACATGACTCTCCCACCGAAAATTCACGCTTGGATCTACCCACTCACGCCAGGACTCCTTGTACGTCCCTGGAATCTCGTCGTCGACGACGATTCCGCAGGCAGGACATGGAGCGAAGTACTGGGCGGCAGTCATCCCGCCGCCCGGTGTTCGATTGGCGTGTCTCTCGCTGAAGGCGAGGATGCAGAAACCTGGGTTGGGTGCTGAGGCTGAGGCGGCGGCGGAGACTTGGAGGGAGGGAGTGGTGGTGTATGGTGGAGGTGGAGGCTCGTCGGTGAGGGTCGCAGAGGGGGGTAGGACGGGTGGTGAGGACAGGGAGGAGGGGGTATATGCTGAGGGGCGGGATTGTGGGGGGAGAGTAGCAGAGATTGGGTAGCGGATTGGAGAGTTGGTTTCTGTCATTTCAGGCATGGTGACGTTGGAGGGAGATGGTGCCGATGTGGTGTGAATGTGATGTGGATTGAAATGGGGGTTTGGTCTGACTCTGTATGTCAAGATCGCTTTGACCTTGGTTTGAAGTGGTGGATGTGCAGCTCTTGGTCCCGTAGCCGTGGTTCGAGAAGATCCGCCAAATGTGATGGAAGACGCTTGTCGTGTTTAAGAGGATGATGTTGTAGCAAGGTTAGGACAAGACGTCCGAACTCGCGAGATTGCACGAGGGGAAAAGAGAGGATGGGTAGGGAAAAGTATCCGACGCAAAACAGAAAGTGAAATTCCAGTGGGAATCAGAATAACAGAGGGTTTTGTGACTTACCGTTGATATGGTGGTAGAATATCAAGAGGCTGAGGAGGTTGGTGGTTGATGCTGGAAAGAGAGGCTGGATTCTGGAGGTCGAGGTGGAGCGAGTGGCGTCATTTGGTTCCTGGCCTCGGCAATCCTTGCTCTACAGGTACCCGCTCCGCTCTGCCCAGCCTTCTCTTTTCTTTGGTGCCTGGGTGCCTCACCCGCTGCAGGTGCTGGCGGCTGCCCGTGACTCTCAACCTTACTCGCACCGCATTTACACCGCCAGGCACCGTTGTAACGCAACATCCACCGACACCGACGTTCTCAACGTCCAAAGTTGAAACTACGAGTACTGGTACCGGTCACTCGGCTGTTCTCCCACGTTCAGATCAATATGCGCCATTGACATCAAACCATGAGTTCGAGGCCGGATATAGTGTACTCGGTACGGGTACAGTAGTGGCAGTTTGAGAGAACTTGCGCTCAATGAACGCATGCTGTGCGAATACTGTGCGTACGGTGCGTAGTGCACGTACTGTACGAAGGTACTCCGAAGTATCTACCAGTATCAAAATATCCCACATGTCATTGCGACTGTCATAATACGATAGTGCGCTAATACAACCTTCCCTTTTAGGAATGGCTTACTTGGTACGGTTACGCCCAGGTTATGGTGAGATGGCTGATCTTGACAAGCACCACCTCCAAGATCCTTCTCTTCTCTTATTTCCTGGTCGGTCCGGTTGACTGAATTCTTGGAGACGATGGAGTGCGGATACTGTGCCCTACCAAACGTCTAGTGTCGCGGCCAATAATAGCAGCGCCGATGGCTCTCTGTCTTCAATTCTTCCCTTGATCCTATTTTCCTTACTCCAACATACATCGAATCCATACTGGTGCTGGCATACAATGAAAATTTCCATCAGCCACGGTTGTCATTTCATGAACTTCCCTCTGCCAAAGATATATATTCTTTTTCTTACATTTTAGCGACTTGGCCCAAGTCGAAAAGTCAAGATCGCCAAGTCAAACCCTAAGTCCGATCCAAGTGTATCTTCAAACAGGTCTGAGGTCGTCCGAAATCTCTCCGCTGCCTCCATGTTGCCTTTTTCGCTGGCTTGACGAATCACGCGGGAGCGTACGCATGGTGTTTTGAAACATACACGACGATTACGATTAACGATCTCCACCTTCCGCCACGCGCGCACTTTGTCCACCTTCAATCCTTACAATTGTGGATCTGAACTGAGGATCCACATCACTAGCCAGGAGATACTTCTACAGTCTTCATCCTTCATCCTTCACAATTCTTTCCTTGTCTTTGCAAGGTCACTCAATCTTTCATTCTTCATACTCTATTAATTCACATCTCTAGGTTGAGCAGGCTCAAATACTACTTCTTATATTCATAATGTTGTCCTCATATATCGTTGCTCTCGCCATGGCGGGTGCTGTTAATGCTGCCACTCCAGCTGGCTTCGAACCCGCAGCGACGGCTGATCTCTTTGTGGCATTTGGTCAAAAGGCTGCGGTAAACGGTGTCTTGATTCCAAGAGCTGGTTAGTGCTTGATTTGATCTTTTGCAAATATGACCCAACTAACTAGATCCAGATACCGCAAGGATCCCAGTCATTGGAACGAAGGAGAAGCTCGTCGGTACCTACGCAATCATCATGACCGATCCAGATATTCCAGGCGCTCCAGCAGACGGAAAGACTGGCCAATTCCTCCACTGGCTACAAACCGATTTGGTCTCAGCGGAAACTGCTACAACAATTGGTGGACAACAGATCTTCCTCCTCACCAACTCAACCGCACCAGCAGCAGCATACGTCCAACCAAGTCCCCCAAACAGAGTTCCAGTTTCTCACCGATACGTTGAACTGTTAATCAACACAACCGGTAGTTCAGTCGCCACCACGATGCTCAACGCTGCCGGCAAGACACGAACCGGCTTCAGTGCCCTCCAAGTCGTCAACCAAGCAGCCGCCCAAGTCATCGCAGGAAACTTTTTCAACGTCACCAACGAGCAAGCATTAGGAGGAGGAACAGGAGGACGTGCTGCCCCATCTGGAGCTGCACTGCCTACTGGTACAGCACGTCCAGGTTCAGGTACAGGCTCAGGAAACGCAGGACGTGCTGGTGCATCCGGAGCACCAGTACCTACCGGCACAGGACGCGCAGGCTCAGGAAATGGACGCGCAGATTCCACAGCTGGCCGAGCGGCTCCTACCAATCCCGCTGGTGCCGCCACGCCTACCACTGGAGGCCGTCGACCATCCAATTCTACCTCCACTAACCGACCGGTCTCGACGGGTGCTGCTACCTCAATGTCCCAGGACAATGGGCTCGCTATGTTCGCCGGACTGGTGGCTATGATTGCTAGTTTTGCCATGTTGTAAGGTGGAAGGGAGAGCTTTTGTTTTGTTGTATAATTGTGGATATATAAAGTATATTACCTATTGATGATAAAATATCGAATTTTGTATATTGATTTCTGTGATTGTGTGAGTGAGTGAGTGATCGGTGGCTTGCAAGGGGATGCTATTTAATTTGTTTTTTTATTGTTTTACATACAGGAGGAGCGTTCGCAAGGCTAATAACGATAGTACTCGAGCAGAGCGCTTTCGCCTTCTAGGAGCATCGAATAGGAATTGAACCTATGTTATCGCCGCTCCTATATAAAGTTGTTTTAGACGGCATAGGGCTAATCCCCTTGCCCTAGCTAGGGCAAGAGGAAGGGCACACTATCCTATCTATCCGTATAGGCGGTAATACTATATATAATAGATTCCTTTATAACTCGCCTATTCCTCCCTAGACCCTTAAATCTGTCCTTCCCCCCTAACTACCTCGGTGTCTAAGCTGTTCGTAACGTCCTACTATAAGCCTAGGCAAGTAACGTATACAAGGACATTAACGTATTGCCCCTTAATATTATACTATCGTTATCCTCTATTCGAGTATAGGCGAGAGGGTAGCGATATTATTATATCCTAGGTAGTTCCCTAGTATATTTTTTGTCCCTCCTCAAGAGAGCTCGGTAGTTGGTTTCTATCTGCACTCGAAGTAATAGATATTTCGAAGAGAAGGCGCGTATATTAGTCTCTGTAATCGAAAAAAGTCGTACCCTATAACCACGGGGATATACTCCTATACTAGCTAAGTATAGACGAAAAACCGTAGTTATAACAGCTCTAAGCAGCCCGATATTTATCCCCTATCCTCCTTACCCCTATTATTCCGCCGATTCAAAGGTATCGAAAAGGTCGAGTCTCGAGTCGATATTGTCGAAAGCGCGGTAAGGGCGAAAAAATTTGCTACGCAATATATGTTAAGTCGTAGTCGAGACTTAATCTTGGCTCTCTAGCTAGGGCTAACCCTGCGGCTAGCCCTAACTAAAGGTTCGTAGAGGGCACTACGTACAGGTGTTGAGTCAGAAGCCCTCCCTTGCAAGGGGCTTGTTATGAACATGTCCAGGCCAATGGTTGCGTTCCGAGTCTTCGACGACCCTGGTTCACAAATCGTTTATTGGGGGTTATTTGCATAGAGCTAATACAGTCGTTGTCTCTCCTATATGAGTTCCCCATGGTTGTTTTGTAGTAAGAAGTACCCATCATTTACCATTCCCATCTATTCCACTCTTTCTCATTCTCCTTCTCCTTCTCGTCTGCCCGATGAATTTAGGCATTGTTACGATATCTCTACCCCGAATCATGGAATCTTCTTTTATCTTTCTGCCTTTCTTCCTTTCTGTCTGTGGCCTTCCTTCCAATCTTCTCTCCTATTTTAACCTACCTACCCATCTATAGCTACATACCAACGTGCTGTGCTCATCACGTGGAAAACACCTCTCCCGTCCTGTCATCAATTTACCCGGACGGATCTACAGATATCACACGCCTCCCGTCGTTGCTTGTTACACTAAAGGTAAGGAGATACGGTACCACACCACACGACACCATACCATACCATACTATTCCTGTATTGTAACCCTACACGTTTGAATTGCGATGTCGCAGTTGTGGGAGGGGGAAATGCGATATCGGGTTTTGGTGTAGTGGGGGTGAGGGGGGGGAGGGGGAAAGGGGAGG